GAACATAACTAACATAAAGAATATTTTCGGAACACATTAACAGTCTTCAGTCCATGAAACCTGAAACCATGATTCTAAGTTATCGATGACATTGGATTGCTGCTCAGTGTTGTGAGTCTGCTCATTTTCATCCGATTTTGTCCCAGTATGAGATTTTTTAAAACTTTCGAACAGTTTTTGGTATAACTTGGATTTGTCTATATGATATGACATTCTAATAAGATATTTAAATTTAAATAATTAAAACGTTAAACTTTGGCTAATTACATCAACATAAACACAAATGATAACTTTCAATGCTTACAATACGTTTAGAATCCAAACAAAACAATACTGATAGATGCGCACTTGCAGCTGGCCGGTACGAGAGCGAATTATTAGACAAGTGAATAGCGCACGGTAATTTCCCTAATGCGCGGTAATTCCCCTAATCAGTTCTCAAAGCGAGTGCCTACGCATATGTATTATTTGCGGGAATCCCCGAAAAAACTTGAATAACTAACGATGACGTAATCATCATCTAGACCCCCCCACCCCCCATGTCATCCAAAATAAGCAAAACAGAGACCCCCCACCCCCCTTGGTGCTTACGTAATACTTGAACGGCCCCTTAAGTTCTCCGCGGCTTCAACAAAAGAGTAGTATGCTAAATTTCATTTTAATGTCCGTCTGGTAGATTATTTTAAAATTTTAGACACGTAATTTACAAAAATGAAATACTTTCGACGATATTATATTGAGTTGAAATATCGTGTGACGTCACTATTTACTACATTTTATAGGATAGCGTGTCGTCCGTCACTCTTAAACTTAACTCAGTTGTGTGTAAGTATTATTTCCTTGTTAAAAAAATGTGTCTAATATATTTTCATCATTTAACTAACTGATGGACTAAGTAATTACATTTTTAATTTTCATACACTGTATAGTACTCTATTAAGTAGGTAGGTATTTACCAGAAAACCAATGTATAACGAGAACATCGATATATATACGTCTTCATTAGCATATTCACATCACTATTTTGCAAATAAAATCACATATTGTAAAAAAAAACCGTTAGGTACCTACCAAACCAGTTTGGGCTTAAAACAGTATATTCGTACAATGCTACTACGAGTTCAGAATAAAATAGGTATTCACCTAGAATGAAATGATTATTATGGAGTAGCTATTATCACTTCCTTCTTAACATAAGATCACGCCTTTTATCCCCGAAGGGGTAGGCAGAGGTGCACATTATGCCCCTGTACAATGTAACAACCATTTTTCACTATTTATGTTATGAGTTCCCAGTAATAGGGGGTGAGCCTATTGCCAGACTCCGTGCTACAACTGATTATTTTTTTAAAACCCCGTAGTACTTTGCTTGACCCGGGAATCGAACCCGAAACCCCTGGCATTCGCACTTGCGACCACTCGGCCAACGAACGCCATGATATGACAATGTTATCTAACCAGTGGTGTAGCTAGGTGGGGCGGCGAGGGTGGCCGGCCTCGGACGGCACCCGCTTAGGGGTGACACCCAAGATCTACTATGACCATCAGTTATAGTTCCTTCTATCTATAACTTCGTCAATCTGTGGCAGAAAGCATAACCGCCACTAATAATATAATCTAGAAAACAATAATATCATACCACGAGCTTAAGCAAATTAAAATTAATTAAACAATATTTGAAATATAAATGTCGTGGTGGCCCGGAGGTTTAAGACGCCCACTTCTCATGCATAAGGGTGCGGGTTCGAAACCTACCAACGGCAAGTACCAATGTGACTTTTTCCGAGTTATATGTACTTGCTAAGATTATTTAGACACCACTGACAAACGGTGAAGGAAAAACATCGTGAGGAAACCTGAACTTATAATTTCTAATTATAAGTTTGAAATCACCAACCCGCATTGAGCAAGCGTGGTGATTAATGCTCTTACCTTCTCTGTGTGAGAAGAGGCTTTGCTCAGCAGTGGGCATTTATAGGCTGTTGATGATGAAACAATATTTGCGGTCTACAATGACTGAAACCAGATTAAACAAACTTGGTATTTTAACGATAGAACATGAAGCAGTACTAAATTTGAAGATGTGAATTCGGAGTTGACAAGTGTCAAAGTTAGAAGGAAGAAATTTTAATTTTCAACTAACTGAATTTGTTCATTTTTTTATACACAATCGTAATATTTTAACCAAATGTAAATTATGATTACTTTTATTTTTAAAAGTTTCGATTGAGTTTCAGTTGACACCTACAAAATCCATCACCTATGCTAGCTACGCCACTATATCCAACAACTAAGATTGTGTCTATTATTTTAGAAGTCAAGGGAACAATATTGTTAGTATTATTAATTATACATGGTAACGTGTTTCCATTTCTTTTTCTTTCACTTTTCAATCAATATTTTTATGAATTCGGATATTATTCACATCCACAGCTATTTATCTTATAATAAATTCAAGTCGCAAAGATTAGTATTTAATCTAAGAAATAAGCATATTATTTAAAATGTTGGCATTATGGAGAAAACTGTAATAACATTAATTGTATTGCAATGAGTTTAATTCTATTGTCTATTAAATTATTAAAATAAAATACAATCAAAACAAAATTCTACATAATGTTAAAATAATAACAATGTAGCATTACAATTTAAAATTAGAACATAAATGTAATGAAACCACAGATAATCAAGTGAACTTTAAAACAAGGCAATGACCAAACAAAGAGGCCGTAGAACTATTGTTTAAAATAAGAATTGTGTCACCGGCCACCATACTGTTGTATGTATTTGGTTTTAAAACATAATTGTAATATTAATCATTCATTTATTTTTGCCATTTACAAAGGCTTGGCAGAAAGCCAGTTTTCTTACAGTCACACCATGTGTCCCAGAAAATCCAGAAATTGTTAACCAAAAAATATTTAAAGAAGTTTTTATATAGGCTGCATGTGTTCATACCTATGCCACTTACAAAATGGAATATAATTATTGTCTGTTGCTATGTTATGAAAGCAGGTTTATAAACAAAGAGGTTTGTATCGAAGTTCATTGTTATTCATAATAATTTACAGAAAATAATGTGGAAATAGAGATAATAGTGACTAGTATAATTTAATTACAATCTTCTATATAGTTTTTCAATCTAATAAATTATTAGTGTAATTAAAAATCTACCTAGGTACCTGTAGAGTTTTATAGGTAATTAAATGATTTAAGTTATAAAATAATTGAAATGAATACACAAGTGTTGCACACTCTGTACCATGATTAGTTCTGATAATGGACTCAGAAATTAGGTACATTTCCTGTCTTTTAATCAAGACTTTAATTAAAACTGCTATAATTAAAATAATGTGATAAATAAGTCATAAAAAGTTTACTTGTGAATGGTAATGATAATTTGTGAAGAATGTAGCGATTTTTTTTTATCAATTAATTTACATTTTAAGTTATTAAAATATGTCAGTATTTAGATATTACGGGCGTGGTAATAAGATTTTCAGACAGAATTTAAAACTTGATTTGAATAAATGTATATACTATTACAATGAAAACTATCAACAAGGTAGGTCTATGAATAATAAAACGCGAAACTAACTTTCCATTTCGAATCTAGAATATTAATCTAACAAAGGATCAAAGTTGCTTATTTATAATAAAATACATACCAAATTACGTTGAGCAGCGAATACGATGAAAAACGTAGTTCAAAATTATGAAAAACACACAAATATAACACAGGCACACACGCGAACTCACAATGTCTTGCCACAAAATATTTTCGTAACTAAAATAGTTGAACAAAATGGTTTTTTTACGAATTTACGACAGACACCCGTCATATCCCATCATTGTAAGAGGAATGAAATGAACGAAATAGAATGAATGATTTATCAATCAACAAAAACTCGCGGAGATTTCTCGCCATTCATTAACGCGTTCCAGGGCTAGGATACTTCATGTTCTTTAGCATAGTTTCTTTTTTCAGTTGGTCACATTTGTTGACGACGACGTGACGTATTCGGCAAATGGCGCTAAATCAAACAATTTAAATACCCACAACCAAGAATAAGGTGTATGATGTAGGACAATGCCACAAATATTAAATAAAAGTCTAGCTAGCACGTCTAGCCATGGACTTTAGAGGCACTACGGAGGTTAATAATCGTTGAGTCGAGCAAAGTACTACTAAACTTTTTTGGTTTATTACAATTTCTCAGTAGTGGTAACACGGAGTGTAAAATCGTGCCTGGTAAATGGCATTTTTTTTACGTGTGGAAAATCATCTAATGACTCCTCCAGTCTGGGTGAGGTGGGAGGGAGTGTCAGACTCTTACTGACTAAAGACCACCCCGTTCCTTCTCCTGTACGTCGAGCCGGAGCCCTGGTAACCCTTTTGTTTCTCCGCGACTGGTAAATGGCATTAGGCTCACCACCTGTTAAATTGGACTTCTAATAAAAGGTAAAAATTGGGTGTGAATTGTATATTGGCTGCCAACGCCAATAATAGGTATTAAACACCACAATGTACACTGCCTATCTCTTCAGGGATAAACGGAGTGAAACCTATTTTCAATTTATCACCTTTAAACATACCTACTTTAAGATACCTACTTTCAAAGCGGTCTAACTTGATATGATATATTTTCAAAACACGTCGACTGCAATATCAAGATTATGTAGCACACCTGTTACTGAAAAAATAAGGACAAAACTACTCAATAATCGTAAAAGTCGTCACAAAGGAGATTTTTTTTTATTCTTTTCTAGAACTTTCTTATTCAGAACTAGTTCATAAGTCTTTGTAAATTGTTGTACCAGTGATCGATTTTGGAAAAATAAAATGTTGAGAAAATGATAATTTTAATATAAATATTGAGCAGAGAAGCGAAATAAATACATAATAACAATATAAAAGTGGAAATACTAAACAACAATATTAATACTCAATGGCATTTTATCGTATTTCTTTATTAAAAAATTAATAAACAAAGCCAGCGCAGTTTTCGCAGAACCTTCTTATAATGTCATTCGTTCAATTTATTTTTCTGTCATCATTCATTTTAATAGTGATGTGCCACGTCCTAGAAAAACGGCATGTCGATTTCCAAGAACGGTTTATGGAGAGACGAAGACAACGACAAATAAAGGACCAAGAAGCATTACTCATGGAAAACAAAGACTTAAGTGATATTGAAGTTGTGAACGAAGTCACACATTTCTTGAAAAGGGGCAACAAATCTTCTAAAAAATGGAAGAAAATTGAAATGCTTGAGCGAGATTTTAGACACTTACTAGCAATGGATGGTATGAAGTATCATTATAAACGTGACTTCTATTGGAGAACTTGGCGTTCAGTTGCCTCTTACGGTGGTACTGAAAGAATTGTGTGTTACAAATGTAATAATATCGTTCAGGCGCCAGGATGCCAAAGTTGTGGGATGTGGGTGAGTGTGGACTAATATATTTGTACATTCTGAGGTAATTAAATTTTCTTTTCCTTATTCCAAGTCGTTCTAGATTGGGCTTTTTTCTCTTTCCCCTATCAAACTACTTCTGAACATAACATAGCATTACGCTGCGCTCTTTCATTCTTGAAAAAGTTGTCAGAAGTGATATTCGTAGTAGGATGCACGCTTCTGGATATGTTTTTAGTTTAATTTGGTATTATAGAAGGAACCTTATCGAAAAATACCAGTCAAAGCAAACATTCAGTCATATCATAAGACCCAGAATAAAAAACTAATTTTATGTATTAACAAATATGTCTATTTACTTTCTTTTTGCATACTCAGTAGACATATAAGATAAATGATCAAAAACTTAACTCTTTTCCGTATGTTTTCAGTAGACGATTGAGGAAACACCCCCGCCATGTCCTTACGAGTTTTTCTCAGTGATCACTGACAAGTTACTATGTGGAGCCTACTATACTCAGTACACAGACATATACACTACTTGTCCAAGCATCATCAACTTCTCCGATTTGACAGCTACGTGTGACAACCCTATTGAGACCAAATGGCGTTTCACCAAAATGTATGGTATGCCAGAGAATCAGAGAAATAAGCATATTATTTGTGGAAATCAAGATTCTTGCGAGATTACTACGTCTTATGAGGTTTGTTTGTTTATTTATTTATCGATTCCTGGTGATAGGCACCTAATAAGTGATGATGCGGCCAATGATAGATCACGCCTGCGCATAGCTATCCTATTCACTCATGACTAAAAGACACTCAAATTTTGAATCCTAAACATTCCAAATGTTACGAAAACCCCTCTTAAGTAGAGGAAAGTAATTCCAGCAATAAACATAGATAGACATAGGCTGTTGACAATCCTTACTATTATAAATGGGAAAGTGAGTTTGTTTGTTCCGCTTTCACGCCGAAACTTCTAAACCGATTGCTTTGAATTTTTGCAGACGTAAAGTTAGTAGTCCGGATTAAATAATAGGGTACTTTTTAACCCGGAAATTTTGATATTCCCGAGGGAAAACAAAAGAATTGGTATAGATGGCGCTGTGTGTATTTTTATATGTCACATAGGCTACTTTAAACTTTTGTGACGCGAGCGAAGCCGCGGGTAAAAGCTAGTGCGTCATAAATTCGGAGTCGCGGAGAACCGGGTAACCGGGGCTCCGGCTCGACGTGCAGGAGAAGGAACGGGGTGGTTTTTAGTCAGTAAGAGTCTGACAGTCCCTCCCGCCTCACCCAGGCGGGAGCAGTCATTCGATGATTTTCCCCCCTTAAAAAAAGTGCGTCATAAATCTAATAAATTTTTTTCTTTGTCCTCAGATAACCCCAAATTATGTTATATTCAGGATAATTAACTCAACAAATGACGTTATTTATTCACGAATTATGAAACCAAACTACACAAACTACATTTGCATAGACGATTGTGGCCGTTTCAACCAAAACACGAAAAAAGTCGGAAACATTGACATACCGTTAAAATTAAACCTCCTCACTCCAAAACTGAATGAAAATATTGAAGAAAAAATACCGGCACAGAGTAAAAATAATTTTCTGATTGAATTGAAGCATACTCCATCAATGCCATTGCGAAGTGAAGCTGTTTTCAGTAATTTCCCGCCATTTGAAGTCAACAGAATACCAAAGTCAGTTGTCAGTCCGAATATTTTTCATAAAAATCTATTTGAACATAGAATTAAATCAAGAGTAATGAAAAGACAGCAAAATAATTTAGATTTACATGAATATATACAAAAGCATTTTTTTCCCAAATACAAGTTATTTAGATGGCATGAATTGAATTCAACATCGAATTCTTTTGAAGATGGGTCGTTGAACTCGTCAGGACATCATTGTAAAGTTTCTCGGTGGCAGAAAGAGGAAACAACGATTACCAGCATACAATAGTAAAAAAAACTAGTTTTACAATATAATATACTTTATTTAAGGCACAATATTTATTTTAGATGCAAAATAAAATGTTTTACATGTTGTTTTTATAAAACATTACACGTAATTTTACTTAACTAATTTATTATTCTAACTTTAAGGCCGGCATCACACTTGGGACAAATACAATGAGAATTTTATCTAGGCTTTACACAAATATTTATTTCAATAAGTGTGACGCTAGCATACATTTTTTATACTTAAATACAAGGACGTTGAAAAAAGGCGAACATAATGTCACTTCGATATTAGTAAAGCACCAAAATGTCAGTGGTTTTTTTACGTGTGCGTGTGTTAGAGTCTGTCAATCGTGTCTAGTGATCTAGTTCCATGAAAAAGGCGGCAAATTAAAAATCTTTCAGGTGTCAACACTGATATAGCAAGCTGAAAACTTATTGGTACTTGGAATTTTTTAATAAAAATACATAATTATTTGAACTAAATAAAAAAAAACAATAAGTTTTAACAGACTCTACCATGGCCTTTAGCCAAACGCCACTTTAGCGCTATTAACAAAGAGAGTAGAAATCAAAATGTATGGGGACGACACTGACAAGTGTCAAAATTTAAGTCAATCCCATATAATTTGGTTTTCTACTCTACATGTAGACAAGCGCTAAATGGCATTTGGCTACAGCTGCATGTAACCAGACTTAAGAAAATGACAGATGTCCTTCGTGGCAATATGTTTATGTCTTATGTTCTGCGTGTAAGTCTATAGTCGTAGTTTCATAAGACTATGCCCGCCTTTTTCAATTACCTTAGATACAATCATCAACAAAGTTTATGTAAGAACTATTTACCGTAAAATGGGGTAAATAGGGATCGAGAGGTGAATAGAGACAGGAAGAGGGGTGAATCGATACTATGAAGAATTTCCTTATGTCTATTCACCCCTCTTCTGTCCCTTTTCGCCGCCCAAACCCTATTCATCCTATTTTACCGTACTTAAAAAACAAAATATAAATTAAAAAATGTGTATAAGTATTTAACCGATCACACATTTAAAATGTTTTCTTAATCCTACAGGGCAGTTTCGACAATGATCAGACTACAAACATGCTGTCATTGAGAATTTCTAAACCTTATTGCCCTTTTTGCATATAATTAACAATTAACTAACAATGTTAGTTGTCATAGATAAATAATATCAGTCTTAATTGGCATACATCTTAAGATTATGTTCTAAACCAAACATAGTTATTATCAGTCACCGAAAATTAACAAGCTTACAAGCCAATGTAACTTAAACGTGAAACTAGACGGTATTTAAATAATATTTAACTTAATTAAACTGTTTCAAGGATTCTCGACTAGTTTCAAGTCACACTGGGGCTTATAGTCATGACTGTGTATAGCAAAACACGTAACGCAACCTTGAATCCATTCATATAAAATAGATTTAGTAATCGAAAGTATTTTAATTAATATATCTAATGAACGATGGTTGATATTTATTGATATATTGTGTGTAGTCACCGTATTTTATTGCATAAACACATCTCACAGACAGACATGAATCAGTGAATGAGAAGTACCTTTTCGTCCATTAGATGAACGAAATCAATGAACTGAGATTGGCTAACGGACGGCGACCGACACAAGACGCGAAGTCGTCATTGGCTGAAGTACTAACTAAATACCTTCTTTAAAAGTAAAATTATTCAATGTCTTAAAATTAATAAGCAAATAATTCCCTAAGTTATTACAACATAAAACCTAGATTTTCTTACGTACCACTTATCTTAAATGATATGAGTCATTAACTAAACATATTGACAAAAACAAAGAAAAATATGGTGAAAGTGAATCATCCAGGGTAGCCCGCAATGCAATTAAAATCGCTCAAGCCCTCATTGGTCCAATTGAACTGTGCGCTTCTCACGATGCTTTCTGTCTCGCACAGCAAAACTGAGGAATGATCTGTCGTCGGCGGTATTTCTGAACCGATACGACCTTCAAACCTTCAAAAAAAGAGCGTATTCCTTTTTAAAACGCCACAACGCACCTGTGACTCCTCTGGTGTTGCGGGTGTCCATGGGCGGCACTGATCGCTTACCATCAGGTGATGCGTCTGCTCGTTTGCCTCCTATTCCATAAAAAAAATGATCTTCGCTATACATATAAAAGTAAGTCTTATCTCTTTAAAATCTTCGTAAGTTTTTTTGCGATTTTTACAAGTCAAGGTCAATTTTTGATTAAAATGGTACATTTTAGAAGCTTTACTAGTTTCGAACCCCGGGGTTCTCTCAGTATACTAACGTGAGTAACCCACGATTTTAGTTAATTTAGTATGTCTCACGATAGTTATTATAAAAACATGAACTTCACTGAATTGCGGAATATGAATACCCATTGTTAACAATTTAAGTATCTTATACTCTTATACTATTTATACTATTATATAAAGCGGAAGAGTTTGTTTTTATGTTTGTTTGTTTGAATGTGCTAATCTCCGTAACTACAAGTCTGAATTGAATAATTCTTTTTGTGTTGGATAGCGCATTTATCGAGGATGGCTATAGGCTTACTATACTATTATATAAAGCGGAAGAGTTTGTTTTTTTGTTTGTTTGTTTGAATGCGCTAATCTTCGTAACTACAAGTCTGATTTGAATAATTCTTTTTGTGTAGGATAGCGCATTTATCGAGGATGGCTATAGGCTAAAACATCACGCTACGACCAATAGGAGCTGAGCAGAGCGTGTGATACCGCGCGGAAGTTGCTAGTTGTTGTATTAACATGTACATTTCACTACCGCGAATTTATATTTTATCATCATAGTATCCGATATCGAACTGTAATTTGCAAAAAAATTACAAAAATTTAAATTTCGCGGGACACCCTGGCTGGAGCATTCACCTTAAATACTTAATTATTAAGACTCCATAAGACAATGTTTCCTGGTGAGAACAAGGATATAGGAATTAAGGAGTCATTTAGATTCGATTAGATAGTGATTTTGAGAAAAAATTGCAGTTAAGAAAAATTTTATATGTAGATTTTCAAACATTACATCACACCTTTTATCTCTGAAGGGGTGGGCAAACGTGCACATTTACAGCACTTAATGTATGTACAATATAACACCCTTCTAGATTTTCATCTTTATTTCAAAAGGATAAGTTTGAGAATTTATCAAACAAATGAATGAATAAAAATTCAGGATTCTACGATGGAATTTCTTTGTTATAAATTAAGGTTCAGTTATTATTTATTAACATAACATCATAACATAACATCACGCCTTTTTATCCCCGAAGGGGTAGGCAGAGGTGCACATTTCGGCACTTAATGCCACTGTACAATGTAACACCCACTTTTCACTATTTATGTTATGAGTCCCATGTAATAGGGGGTGAGCCTATTGCCATATACCGGGCACATTTTTCCAGACTCCGTGCTACTATTGAGATTTTTAAAAACCCAGTAATACCTACTTTGCCCGACCCGGGAATCGAACCCGAGACCCCTTGCCTCGCACTTGCGACCACTCGGCCAATTATTATTTATTAACAAGTTTAAAAATACTTTTCTAAGAAATGTGTCAATCTCTTTGACTGGATTTTGGAGTTGCATTGAACCAACAAGACTATGTAACTAAAAATTGTATTGAGAACTTGATTGGAAAAGAGTAACCTATGGAGTTTCTTGCATGTTCTTCTCCATTGGAATTTATATCCACCTTGGAATGAGCAAATGGCTTACTTCTTTTGTTGACATTCAAAAGAGCCTTCCTGGTCTAATTAAAATTAATGACTTTGGATTTTATTGTTTGTCATAATATTATGTGTTAGTTAACTTATAAAGTTATAACAGACAAATCTGGTATCATGACATAGATCTTGCAATATAAATATCTTCTAAATCTAAATTTCTTCTGTGAGTGTGTATGTCACTGAACTTCTCTCAAACGACTGGACCGATTTTGATGAAATTTTGTGTGTGTGTTCAAGGGGATCTGGGAATGGTTTAGATTCACAAATCAGCCCGGCAGATGGCGTTGCAGTCGGTTTCTAGGTTATTTATCTATACCTATTATTACAGAACAACGTCTGTCGGGTCCGCTAGTGCTATATAAATAAAAATGAATTACCGTTCGTTAGTCTCACTAAAACTCGAGAACGGTTGCACTCATTTTGGTAATTTTGTCTTGAAATGTTTGTGGAAGGCCAAAGAAGACTTAAAAGGTGAGAAATCAAATTTTTAGTCAGTATGAAGTTTGTCACATTGTACAGTGGCATTAAGTGCCGTAATGTGCCTACCCCTTCGGTGATATGTTATGATTATGTATAAAGTAATCGGGTCGACTAGTAAACAAACAAAACAAGTTCTAAACAAAAACATAACATCTTGTGGAGTATAATAAAATAACTCTAATTTCTAGTTTCTATAGAAAAAAAATCTAATGAATGAATGAAATATCATTTTAACTGGAAGACTCATTTGTGTGCTAACAAATAATATTATTTTAATATAACATAGTATAGATTATATCTACAACTTCTCCAATGGTTAAACAAACCACTTAGTATGTGTTCAGCACTCTGATTGGCTAACTCCAGTAAACAAATCAATCAGAGTGACCAACGCTATCTTGTTTCAATTGCTTTATACGTAAAACAAGCACATATTAAGGCCTCCGATGTGTAGTTACAATACACTATGCATTCGAATAAAGAATATCATTCATATTTCCATATACAGCATGCAACTGAAAATTATTACTATACACACTTAAAACTATATCGAGGGATAACGGACTATTTGGTTTAAGCGACGTTTTGGTCGATATTGAGTTATATAATATATACTCGGAATCAGCGAATTTTTCTCCGTTGAATATATATAATAACTCAATATCGCCCAAAATGTCGCTTAAACCAAATAGTCCGTTATCCCTCGATATAATCTTAACAGATTACTTATAAAAAGTATGTTATGCCAATAAAAATTGTATTAATTTTTAACTTATTCTAATTGTAAATTGTGGAAGACATATTAACACAATTAATTAAGATTTGGCATTCATACTTTTAAATATGAATAATCATTTTATTATAATTAAAAGAAATAATTAACTTAAAACTAATAAACCTGAACTCGGTCTCATGGTAGACAGAAAATATAAGCATAGCGCCATCTATTACACTCCTTATACAAGTTTCCTTAAAATAGGAAATAGGACCTCTCTGCAATTGCAATTGCTATTTATAGCATGACATTCAAAACAACTTTAATAATTTGTCTGTTAATAAAACTAACAGTATTTTACTAATTAATATTGTATACAAAAAGGGAGTACTTAGTAAAAATCCCAAAAATGTTAAGTATAAAATGTAAGTAACATTATTTTTTCCTAATCCTATTTTTGTATTTGCCACAGACATGGTTGACCATTTGATATAGTCTATTAAAGCCTTGCTTACACTGCTTACAGTAAAACTGTTTTGATTGTGTGTGCCTCTCTCTTATATGAGCAATTAAACTCTTTTTTAGCATCTCCTTTTTACAATAATCACAAATCGCCTTGGAATACTGAGACTTGTCTTTGCTTGCGATAACAGAAGACATATATTCCTTAAATCTATTGGCTTCCACATTATCTGTGGTTTTTATTTTTAATGCATTTGATTTTGGAATCTTTTTAATGTTTATAATGTTGTTATTTACCTTTGTCATCTGGACGCAAACCTCCGATTCGAGGACGCGTTCCACCCAAGTTTCATTCAGCTGTTTTTGTACAAAAGTAGGTTCATTTTCTTGAAAATTAAAATGCTTCTTCCTTATATGGTATTTCAGCAATCTTTCTTCACAGAAACTGGTGTCACATGCTATACATTTATATTGTTCTTGTTGTTGTGTGAAATATTCGTCGTGGACCTTTAGATGGAGTATTAGGTTGCGTTTTTCTACGAATCCCCGATCACAATGGTCACAAATGTACATTTTCTTCTTCCCAGTATGTGAGCTTACATGTTTCATATACGCATCTCGTCTAAAATACTCGTTAGAGCAATATTCACATTGAAATCGAGATTTCACAAGCTTGTGTTGATACAAATGAGCTTTATACTTGAATGAACTACCGATTACGACTTTCTTGCATATTTCACATTCTGTTTTCCTCTTGTTAGTTCCCGTTCCTTTTGTTTTTGTGCTCATATTGTTTAAAAAATAAAGAAAATAAGCGAAAATTAAGATTTTTCTGAACAAAAATAGAAGCAAAATAAAAATACAGTCAAAACATAAATTTTGTTTGTGACAGTGACAGCTTATGTCATTACTAATTTTCGACGTCAGGTGTAATAAATGTCATTTGTGAGAGTGAGATAGCAACGTAAAATAAAGTGGGAATGAAAGAGACAGCACACTCAAACTTATGCTTGAAATTACCTATTTGAACATAATTTATCTGGAATGCGCCAACACTTTTTTACGTCTATTTCTTTTTATTTTAGCTACTAGGCATTTAATCTAAGAGGGGGCTGCGAGGCTGCCGTGCATGCGTTGTCGACCTACCTGAATTCCGGGAAAAAGGGATATCATCCTAAAGGTTTACATTAAGAATGCCTTTAATTCGGTCAATAGGGATACTTTGATGACAGAAGTTAAAAAGTTCTCCAAATTTTCAGTTTTCTCTGGCAATGTTATGGACACCCTACCAAATTATTATATCAGGACAATCTTTTGGAATCAGCCGTTGGCTGTCAACAAGGCGATTCCCTTGGGCCAGTGATTTTTAGCCTGGCTATTAATACTATTATTCGACAGCTAAATTCCAAATTTAATATTTGTTACCTCGATGACGGTACCTTGGGAGGCAGATACAGTTTTAAATTATTTCATGTTTTTAAAAAACGAACTTCATGCTATTGGCCTTGACCTAAATTATTCCAAGTGTGAGATATTTTTAGACGACTACCGACGGATAGATCATATCAAAATTTAATACTTTTGCGCCTAATATCTCGGTTGTCGATAAATGTTCACTTCGCGTCCTAGGTGCGCCCGTCTTCGAGGACTCTTTTTTCCAAGTTTTATTGATGAAAAAATTTAATCATCAATCACATTAGAATGCATTCGGCCGACACTATTATTCGATTTTGTTGCCAAATTTATGTAGGTACTATCTTCGCTCGACCCACCTCTGTTCTACACCCCTTCTTTTGGAAAAATGACCAAATCATTAGGCGAACTTTTGTCCCTAATTTTGAATGTGGCTTTCGCTCGACGACCGAGCCTGGACACAAGCTACTTTGCCTGTCCGCATGGGTGGGCTTGGCGTCCGTAAAATTTCCAGTATAAGCCTACCGGCTTTCATATCTTCCGCTCATGTTACTGAAGAATTAACCAGGAAAATTCTTTCTCAATCACTGGCTAATTTTGATGTATCATGTTTAGTGGAAGCTGTGAATGCTTGGAAAATCGCTTGCCCAAATATTGACCCCCCATCAAATCACTATCCCAGAGACAATGGGACGAGCCGCTCTGCAGAAAAATGAACGAAAATCTCTTTAACTCCTCTTGGTCAACTGCACAGCGAGCTCGCCTTTTGGTTGTGGGTGAGAGGGAGTCGGGGTTATGGCTTCTTGCTTTACCTTCGTCTAACCTAGGTACTTTGTTGGACGACACCACGTTCCGCGCTGCAATTTGTTTAAGGCTTGGAGCTTCATTTTGTTCACCTTATCGTTGTCTTTGTGGTGAAGATGTCAACAGCCTTGGACACCACGGCTTGTCATGTAGCCGTAGTGCGGGCCGTTTTGCTCGACACGCAAGTATTAATGACATAATACGTCGAGCTCTTGTCTCCGTTGGCGTGTCAGATACTTTAGAACCTAATGACTTGGTACGCGATGATGGCAAGAGACCTAACGGTATGTCATTATTCCTTTGGAAAATTAGTAGGCCTTTAATATGAGACACCACTTGCGTTGATACTCTGGCGCCATCCCATCTTCCAAGCTCAGCGTGGCGAGCCAGTGCTGCCGCTGCAGCTGCCGAGAACCTCAAACGGCGAATGTATAATAGCAATTATGCTTTCGAACCGTTTGGGGTTGAAACTTTAGGGCCGTGGGGTTCAAGTGCACATCTTCTTTACAAAGATATTGTAAGGAGGATGGTTGACACTTCAGGTGACCGAAGGGCTGGCTACTACCTTGGGCCTTTGCCCTATACTATACTTATTATAGGTACTCTTTGACAAAGGTCAAGTATAGTCCGGGAAGCAAAAGTTAAGCCTTGCCATTCAACGTGGCAATGCTGCCAGTATTTTGGGCGCCACGGCACGATAGGGATGAGGAATGATTTTTTTGATGCCTTAAGCTTAGGAAAACATTTTTATTATTTTTTTAAGGTGTAAACATTTTAGTTTTTAGTTATTTTAGATATTTCTAAGATAACATAGTTTTTAGATATTTCTGCCAGTATTAGTATTAATAAATTTTTATTAGTATATTGACAACCAATTAAAACTAAAATCACTTAAATCAAACAAATAGTTTTTTATTTATTGATGTTTTTTTAGTTCGATCAAGTATTATCACCTCGCGAGAGGAATACGTCGAGTTACAAGTCACCCTATATATTTATTCATTTCGGAGTCGCGGAGAACCTAACGGGTAACCGGGGCTCCGGCTCGACGTGCAGGAAAAGGATCGGGGTGGTTTTTAGTCAGTAAGAGTCTGACATTCCCTTCCGCCTCACCCAGGCGGGAGTAGTTACTCGATGATTTTCCCCCCTAAAAAAAATATATATATTTATTCATACTTAATTTAGTAAGGAAATGAATTTATTATTCATGAAATGTATTAAAATAACTCACATCAAATAGTTAGTTGGATGTCATCGATTTAATTATGTTTATTTTAAGACTAAATCTATGGAGTTTATTACTCGTTCTTCTCCATAAGAATCTACACCTTGAAATGAGCAAATAGATACGCTTTAAAAATTTTTGTTGGCGTTCAATAGTGCCTTCCTTGTCTAATAGATAGATGATATTGACTTTGAAATAAAAGCAGGACATATCCTGTCTAAACAATTTAAAACCTAATCTAAAAATGAATTTAAATGAAAACAACAAAGATGTAAAAAAAAATATTTTATTTACACAATAATCTTCTATGACTTCACAGGTATTTATAAAAAAAATAAAAATAATCCCAAACATACACATTTTGTCAATGGCTTTGTAACACTTGATCTATAAGGACAACTAATGGGTAAGGGTACTTTCCTTAATCAAAAATAAATTATATCGACTGTTCAATACAATCAAATACTTATAAAAAAATAATCACATTTTCAATCATTGATTTTATGACCAAAAATTTTAATATTTTTCCAGCAAATTTTTAAGAAATAAGTATGCTGTTTGACGCTAAAAAAACGTGACGTCACAATAGACAATCTCGTACAACATTCATAGAAAACTCTCGTTTTTGACAGTTCGAAAAAAGTATTGAATTTGACTAGTTGGCAAGTACCCTTTTACTAAACAACACAAATAATCTACTTCTTCGCTTTATAATGGACATCATCGCACTCCCTTAGTTTCTGAGCTGCTTGTTCAGGCGTCAAGTCCCTCTGCGACTGAGCCAGCATTTCATATCCCACCATGAACTTTTTGACAGTTGCCGACCTCAGTAGCGGCGGTAGGTAGATGGCGTGGAGGAGCCAATGGGGTGAGTCGCCTGGAGCAGCTGATGGACCCGTTGGAGCTCCTGGAAGAATGTAAAGAATAAGATAGATGACAAATTTTTATTTTAATGTCCGTCTAGTAGTTTATTTAAAAACATTAGACACGTATTTTTTATTTAGGTACTTACAGAAAAGAATACTTTCGGCTATATATTGATTTGTAATGTCGCGTGACGTCACTTCTATGTACATTTTATACGTAGAAATGACGTTTTAGCCCCCACTCCTAAACTTTGATTCGTTACATTTAAGTATAATTTTATTTTAAGTACAACAAAATAAAAAATGCGTGCCTAAAATTTTTTCATTACCTAACTTACGGACTAATTACATTTTTTATTTTCATACACCGTCATCATCCCTATTGCTGAAATAGATTCAAAGAAATAAGTACACTTTGAAACAAAGAAACGGTGCCACTAGCATTTGTTTTTCATTGTATCAAACACTCAACTTTAAAAAAATATTCCTTTAATTACAACAAAATGCTCTAATTTTAAAGGCAAGTAACGTCCAATTTCAATAACCTATCTATCTGTAGATTTGCTTACTAGTGATAGAATTTTTACACATTTTGTATGGAGCTCATGTCAAAATACTATCTCTAGTAAGCAAATCTACAGATAGATAGATTATTGAAATTGGACGTAAATCACCTTACCCGCTTCAACCAAGCGGGAGAAGTCATTCTAAGATTTCCCTTTAAAAAAAAGACATGAATTGTAAAAAAAAATCGCAAATTCAACTCACCATGGAATCCCATGCTATAAGGAAAGCTACATTTGAATAAATTATCATATTTGATGTTCAGCTGTTTCATAATCTCCGCCAGCGACCGTTTCTGGTCGTCGGTCAGGTCGGTCATTCGCTGTGGTTTCCCATTTATTGGTAGGAGCATTGTTTCGTACGGCCACACTGCCCAGTATGGAACTAATGCTACCCACTCAGCATTCTGAATGACCACACGTTCCTGGTTGAAACAAATAAGTATTATTTATTTTATTTATTTACTAGCTTTTACCCGCGGCTTCGCTCGCGTCACAAAAAAATAGAAAGTAGCCTATGTGACATATACCAATACACACAGCGCCATCTATACCAATACTTTTGTTTTCCCTCGGGAATATCAAATTTTTCCCGGTTAAAAAGTACTCTATTATTTAATCCGGACGTCTAACTTTACGTCTGCAAAAATTCAAAGCAATCGGTTGAGTAGTTACGGCGTGAAGGTGGAACAAACAAACAAACAAACAAACTCACTTTCAGATTTATAATATTATTAGTAATAGTAATATTAGTAATTAGTAATTAGTAATTAGTATTAGTATTAGTATTATTAGTATATTAGTATTAGTATTAGTATATTAGTATATTAGTATATTAGTATATTAGTATTAGTATATTAGTATTAGTATTAGTATATTAGTATTAGTATTAGTATTAGTATTATTAGTAAGGAAGTAAGGATAGTAAGGATTTATTTATGTACACACATTCAACACAGAGGACAATACATAATAAAAAAACAGAGTACATAGGCCCCACATATTCCGACTATTATTTTATCTTTGGAAAGAGACTAAAAAGATGTAACAACAACATAACATAACATCGCGCCTTTTATCCTCGAAGAGGTAGGCAGAGGTGCACATTATACTTCTGTACAATATAACACCCACTTTTCGCTATTTATGTTATAAGTCCCATGTAATCGGGGGTGAGCGTATTGCCATATACCGGGCACAGTTCCAGGCTCCGTACTACTATTGAGAATTTTAAAAAAAAACCAGTAATGCTTTGCCCGACCCGGGAATCGAACCCGAGACCCCTTACCCGGCAGTCGCACTATGCCAACGAGGTAGTCGTAACAATGTATTAATAATATAACAATATTAGATGTTAATTCATAAACAATAAATAAATTTAAAAAAAAATCTCATCAACAGCCTATTTTTTTTTTTTTTTTTTTTTAAGGGGGGAAAATCATCGAATGACTGCTCCCGCCTGGGTGAGGCGGAAGGGAGTGTCACTTACTGACTAAAAACCACCCCGTTCCTTCTCCTGCACGTCGAGCCGGAGCCCCGGTTACCCGTTAGGTTCTCCGCGACTCCGAATCGGCATCGGCCCTATTGGGCCCCATCTGTGGTGGTCTGATGGCTCTTTGAGGCGCGCGCGGAACGCGACGCGCCGTACGCTCGGGTCTGTTTCTGGTCGGACGGGGAGCCACCCATGCTCGCCGTCCGCAGGCCCGCGCTTACGGTGGCCGGAGATCGTCCCGCGATCCCCGACGCCCGGTGTGTCCTTCGCGATGGCTGGGTCGCGAGGAGGCAGCGCTTCGCTGCCTCACGCGTCCCGCCTCCACCTTAGCTAGCATGACTGCTTCGCAAAAGGAGGAGACGGCATCCCAGTCCCCCTCGCTCCGCATCATGGCCTGCACTAGGCCCGGACGCGAGAGGTCGCCATCGCCGATCACTTCCCCGAGGGCACGGCGGTGCTCAGCCCACGCAGGGCATTCCGCTACGGTGTGTTCCACCGTGTCCTCAGGGCGGTCCTCGCAGTGATGACACCCGGGCGTTTCCTCCCGCCCCATCAGACACAGGTACCTCCCGAAACTTCCATGTCCGGTGAGGACCTGCGTCAGGCGGTAGGTGAGGACGCCGTAGCGTCTCTCAAGCCACTCCTCAAAGAGGGGACTTACCGCTGCAATGGCAGCGAGCCCAGCCCTCGGTTGCGACAGTCGTTGCCATTCCGCCATGAGATCGCGCCGGAGCTCATCCCGCCACGCACTTATCTGGCGCGGCAGAGGAGTTTCGCCCCGGCGACGTGCCTCCGCGCGCATGCGATACACGCGCGCGAGCACCTTCGCCTCCAGATCCCACGGCGGTATCCGGCAAGGAGGTTCGCCGTCTCCCCGGAGATCGTGCGGTATCCGCGGATCATTCGGATCGCCATGACCCTCTGTGACATGAGCAGCGTCCGAGCAGGACGCCGCAACAAGTTCGGCGCCCAAACAGGGGCGCCGTAGAGGGCCATGGACCGCACGACCCCGGCGTATAACCTCCGGCAGGAGGCGTTTGGCCCCCCGAGGTTGGGGAGGATGCGCTTAAACGCAGCCCCCGCCCTCGCCAACTTTGGAGCCAAACGTCGGAAGTGCTCCACGAAGTTCCACCGACTGTCGAGGACGAGTCCCAGGTACTTCATCGTCGTCTCGACGCCGATGGTAACCCCTCCCGCCATTATTTGGGACCCACCCGGAGGTGGCGCGTTCCCGCGGCCATGAAAACACATGGCCTCGGACTTGTGGAGCGCCACCTCGAGTCCCAACTGCCGGATTTTTTCAACGACTGTCGCAACCGCTGTCGCCATTAAGTCGGCCGCCGCCTGGTGCGACCTCCCGTGCGCTAGCACCAGCGTGTCGTCGGCGTAACATATTGTGCTAACGCCGTTCGGGAGGTCGGTGCGCAGCACCCAGTCATAGCCGATGTTCCACAGGAGCGGCCCCAGAACCGAACCCTGCGGAACACCGCGTGACATCTCTCGCCGGTTCCACTCGCCCCGGTGACCGGGGTAGCTGACGGACCTGTCCGTCAGGTAAGCCTCGATTACACGACGGAGGTAGGTAGGCACCCGATGATATCGGAGTGCCTCCAAGATGCAGCTCCAGGGCAGGGAGTTGAAGGCGTTGGCGATGTCCAGAGACACCGCCACTACGACCTTACCCCTCGACACTGCAGTCCCCGTCGTGAGGTTTCTAACGCGCATGATGGCGTCCACCGTGGAGCGTCCTCTGCGGAAGCCGAACTGGCCGTCCGACAAGTCCGGCCCAATGTCCGTCAGGTGCGCGACGAGGCGGTTCGAAATGATTCTTTCGAAAACTTTCCCCACCTCGTCGAGCAGCACTATGGGCCGGTACGCGGACGGAGAGTCCGCAGGGCGCCCCGTCTTCCGCACGAGGACCAGTTTGCCCGCTTTCCAGAGAAGCGGGAACTGGCCTCTCTTTAGACATGCGCTGTAGAGACCAATCAATCGAGGCCCGAGAGCCTCTGAGGCCAGGACCCATGCCTTGCCATGCAGGCCGTCGGGTCCTGGGGCGGTGTTCTTGGCGCCCATCCGGCGCACCGCCGCTCTCAATTCTGCCTCGGTCACCTCTGGGACGATGTCATCGTCGTCGTCGCTGTAGCCCGCGTCGGGCACCGCAGGGGGCGGAGTCATATACGGAGGGGTGAAGCCCCTCCACAGTCGGGGGAACAGGGCGCCAATCACCTCCTCCAAGACTTCTGGCCGGAGACTCTGAGTGAGCGGGGGAGCCCAAGCACGGAGCTTGTCGCGTACCATCCGGTACGGGCGTCCCCACGGGTCTCTATTCAGAGTCCCCAGCATCTCTCGGCGGGCCTCCTCCTTGGCCCGCAATATCTGCGCCTTGAGGAGGGCTTTCGCCGCCCTGTATCCCTCGTATAACTCCGCCTCTCTCGCCTCCGCATTAGGAGGACGGATACGGCGCCTGCGGTGCCTAGTGTACTGGCGTCGCGCAGCAGTGCACGCCTTGCGCAGAGCCGCCAGCTCTTGCGACCACCAGTACACCTGGCGCTTCTGTTGCCTCGACCGGATCCGGGGCATCGCCACGTCACAGATCCTGGACATGGCGTCCTGGAGCCACTTGGCCTCATCGTCAACGTCGGCAGGCCTGACCGGTGGTATCACCCAGGCCTGCACGATGGCGGCTTCCAGGAGCAGCTCCCGGTCCAGCTGTTTCAGCGCCCAACGCGGGCCACATGGGGCCTGTCTGACCGGCGGGTCTGCGGACTCGGCGGAGACGTCGAACCGGATATACCGGTGGTCGGAGTACGTCTCCACCTCCTCCATGACGCGCCAGCCAACAATACGCGGTGACAGAGCAGGGCTGGCGAACGAGATGTCCACCACCGACTCGCCCTGATCAACAGCCTATAAATGCCCACTGCTGAGCAAAGCCTCTTCTCACACGGAGAAGGTTTGAACAATCACCACGCTTGCTCAATGTGGGTTGGCGATTACAAACTTATAATTAGAAATTTTCAGTCCAGGTTTCCTCACGATGTTTTCCTATACCGTTTGTCAGTGGTGTCTAAATATTCTTAGAAAGTACATATAACTCGGAAAAAGTCACATGGGTACTTGCCGCTGGTAGGTTTTAAACCCTCATGCATGAGAATCGGGTGTCTTAACCGGGCCACCACACAAAAAAATAAACCTACTTTATCTCAATTGCATTTATTCAATCGCGCGAATGTAGTTAAGTGCATCATGGGTGTGGCAGAAGAAGCATGAAAGCAGGATTAATGCGGTGGAAATGAGAGCCCTGAGGAGTACCTATGTGTGGACCAAAATTGAATGATCGAGTAAAAAATAGTGTTATTAGAGAAAGGTGTGGATTGAAAGATGATGTAGTGACAAGGATTGAACAGGGAATGTTACGCTGGTTTGGACATGTAGAAAGGATGGATGAAAGTAGAGTAACTAAAGAAGTATACAGAACGGATATGAATGGAACCGTCGGTAGACGGCACTGTACAATGTAACACCCACTTTTCACTATTCATGTTATGAGTCCCATGTAACAGGGGGTAAGTTTATTATATACCTCTATAGCCATATATCGGGCACAATTCCAGACTCCGTGCTACTGCTGAGATTTTTTTTTAAAACCCAGTATTATCTACTTTGCCCGACCCGAGATTCGAACCCAAGAGGGGTTGCCCAGCAGTCGAACTAGCGACCACTCGGCGAATGAGGCAGTGAATGTGAACATGTTTAAAAATTCTATTTACCTTCTTGATCATTTCCTCTTTTAGATAATCGAGTAACATTGGGCGTTTGAACTTGATAAAATATTCTTTCTGGCATCTGTAAATTGACAAAGAGATAAGTCGTTGCCAAAAAGACAGACATAGGAGAAGTCGTCACTAAGGCCCGGCGCCCTCTATCGGCATCGTCTCAGGATTTTAGATGGCAAATAGCAATATTCATTAACATAATAGTAATAAAGTAGAAATTGCCGTGTATCATGGCGTAATAAACGGTTTTTCTTTCTGTCTTTCCTTTTTATGCCATAAGCCGGTAAACGAGCAGACGGATCACCTGATGGTAAGCAATCGGCGTCGACCATGGACACCTGGAACACCAGAGGCGTTACCGGCCATTTGGGGATTGGGAGTTTGAGGTTCGTTGGGGATTCAGGGATTGGGGAAATAGGGGAAGGGGAGGGTAATTGGGCCTCCGGTAACATCACTCACACGACGAAACACAACGCAAACGTTGCTTCACGTAGGTTATCTGTGAGGCCGTGGTATCACTCCGGTCGAGCCGGCCCATTCGTGCTGAAGCATGGCTCTCCCACACTTTTCAGGTTCAGATAATCGCGCACTATTAGCTTTTTTGCAGTCCGGTAATTAAAAACGCTTACCGTTCTTTTACTCGGGGCTCGTTAGGTAAGTAGCTGGACGCCCATATTTGGCAGTGAGGGTGCGGGTTGGAGCACCCCATGATAGCACCCTTATTTTCAAAGATCTGCACCCAAGTGTACTTGCGACCTAACTCTTTTAGCTGGTTGACCCATCTGTAAAAAAACAATTCAACATCATCATTTATTATTGTTTTTGAGGTGTAAATATTAGTTTTTAGTTTTTTGTATTTAATTTGTAAATATTTTAGTTATTTATATTTATAATAGGTATTTAACTCGTCGAGTACCGGTTTTATAGACACAATTAAAGAACAATAGGTCGCGGTCACCGGTGACCGCTTGGTGTTTGACAGTTTAATATAACAAACTTATTACCTACTAGAAATAAACTCAACTAAATAAAGTTAATGTTGTACTGGAAAAAAGATTCAACTTCAACGGGATGACTGGCAGAGAATGCTGTTAGCATTAAGTCTTCCTTATGCAATTGTATAAAACTCAAATAAATATATGAAATAAATAAATAAACAAATTTCTTCCCGCGTGTTTGATCTTAAAAACTACTGAACGGATTTTCGTGCAGTTTTCGCTGGGGATAAAAATATATCTAGTGATTAAACATTATGATTATTGTGGCGAAAGTTATAGGTGAAAAGTTTTCTACATTTAACATATTCGACCGGATTGACACCGGTGTTTGTGTCCGGTAAGCAGGTGAGGTGATTTCTTTTCTAAAGGGCGAAAGTCATCAGACTCTTACTGACTAAAAACCACCCCATTCCTTCTCCTTCACGTCGAGCCGGAGCCCCGGTTACCCGTTAGGTTCTCCGCGACTCCGCCGGTGAGGTGATCCGTCCGCTTAGTAGCGAGCAAGCGAGTATAGGATAGTTCTCATAAAAATATATTTTGTTTACAACTTACTCATTAACAACAGCAAGGATCTCGTCGACTGTCATCAACGGTATGGTCATCGTGGAGTCCGGATGGAAGCACATAACTCTGCGAAGCAATAAACACCAGAATATCTTCAGAAAAAACTGACACAATCAAGTCTCAGTTAATACCCTCCTCAGAAACGTTTTATATACAATTATATAAAATATATAAATCCATTATATGTATAGGTATTTATATAGGTACAAGGTGTAGTTTTAAAACCGAGGCATTTCTCGGGGGCATGTCACAGAAGTCATAAAGGTTCAATGTAAGAGAAAGTTTCGGGCCAATAGTTAAAATAAAAATACGGCTGTAATAAATCGTTTAAGTTCGACAGTATTTCAGAATAAGCGACAGCAATGTTTCTTATTGGAGTTCTATGGAATTAGGAATAATATGCGTTACAAAACTAAGTAGTTACAAGACGGCGGCGTGTAGTTCGCACTTACGGATTTCCGTAATTTACAGAAAAATGCAAAATATTTAAGTAGGTACAATTTTTTTTATTGATTCGGACTCGGAATCGATAACTGAGTCACCTCGTAAAAATGGATATATTTATGTAGTAGTATTGGTATGTAGTTTATGTACTGGGATACCTTTATATATACGTATAATTATCAACTTCGTTTTTTTTTTCAATATATGAAAACTTCGTTTAAAACCTAGTGTAACACTTCTTTTCATCACCCTATGGTTGGCTGGCAGAGAATGCCATTCGGCATTAAGTCCGCCATTGTATACATTTGTACAAAAAGCAAAGCAAAACTACGCAAATCATATTAAGACGTACACTGGATCTCAAAAGTAAAAGGAAAACGACAAAAGAAAGTCAAAAGTCACAAAGATTTATGCTACGTACCTGCAAGTCCCCTTAGCAGCTGAAGACCTAAAGAGTGGATGATCCGAGGGTGGAGGATCAGGCACACGCTCCAACAACGCTGGGAAGTCGTTGGGGAACACATACGTTGACGTATAGACAGGATTGCGCTGTAATAAGATAGGTATTCAAATATAGCCGGCTCGCCGGTTTAACCCTTTGAATACCGTCATTATAGACAATTAAAGAACAATAGGTGTGCGGACACCTGTGTCCTTGCGGTGTTTAAGGGCTCGTACACAAAATTACGGCACCCAGAGTGACCATTCCTTCGACGACTGTCAACCGTACTAAACGTATTTTAAGTCGAAAAGTAGGTCATGACATGGATCGTAAAAAGAAGTGTGCACTTCTGTTATTACTTAGGAGGTACAGGAAAAAGAAACAAAGAAGATTTTGGGAAGATAAAGATTTTGATGCGTGATGCGAATGAATTTGCAAGTTCTTCAGTTTTGTGTACGAGCTCTAAAAGGTTTACGATTCTCCGGTTCAAAGGAACCACAGTATAAAAGGTTCAGGTTTATCAGAGAGCGCTGCTACCCGGTCTCTGTCTAATGTGCAGTCCCTTATTCGGCTCTCAAGACACCCGCGTTAAACTGTGTTTCGCTTAAGCTTACTTAAGAACTTCTCTTAAGAGGTTACCGGAGACCCAATCTCATCTCCACTTTGTCCCAAACCCACTCCCCCTAACGCTGGCAACGGACTTCTAACTAGCGTTGCGGGTGTGCGTGGGCGGCGCCAATACGTTACTTGCCAATTACTCAAATTCAATACGATTTTTTCGAACTGTCAAAAACTACGGTTTTCTATGAATTTTGTACGACATTGTGAATTGTGACGTCACGTTTTTTTAGGGACAAACAGCATACTTATTTCATAAAAATTTGCTTGAAAATACTAAAATTAAGTTGCTCACAAAATCAATGAATGAAAGTTGTGATTATTTTTTTCTATTTTATTGTATTGAACAGTCGATATAATATATTTTTGATTAAGAAAAGTACCAATTGTTTACCATCAGGTGGTACATCTCCTCTTTGCCGAGCTATTTCATAAAAAAACATATCAGGTTTTCTTCTTTACAGGTGAATCCCTTACCTGCCCACTAGACCGCGTAGCCCCAGGCAGTAGAGGATTCAATGGGTCTGGTGGCTGGTCATCAGGAGCTGCCTCAGTCTGCCCGCTCCAAGGTCGAAGGCAGCGGTGTGGGGAGACGAGTACCCATTCATCTTTGAGAGGGTTGTAGCGCACGTGCTGGTGTTCTGATGAGGAAGAATATAGAGTAGTGAGTTGACATACAATTTTCTCCTGTGTCGTGACATTGCACCTAGACCCAGAATTTGGATTATACAAAGACTTGTTCGGGACCCCGCAATTATTGACGCACCATCTATTCGCTCGATCCTGTTTTTTTATGGCATAAGCCGGTAAACGAGCAGACGGATCACCTGATGGTAAGCAATCGGAGTCGCCCATGGACACCTGGAACACCAAAGGCGTTACAAGTGGGTTACCGGCTTTTTGGGGATCAGGAGTTTAAGAATCGATGGGGATTCAGGGATTGGGGGGATTGGGGAAGGGGAGGGTAATTGGGCCTCCGGTAACCTCACTCACACGACGAAACACAACGCAAACGTTTCTTCACGTTAGTTTTCTGTGAGGCCGTGGTATCACTCCGGTCGAGCCGGCCCATTCGTGCCGAAGCATGGCTCTCCCACACTTGATTTACCTTTACACACGGTTACATCCTATCGTTTATATGTCTATTACAAGTACTTGGTACATACCTGTTAGTATAAGTGGATCCATAATAACCTTTACTTAAAAATAAAAGCGACGAACAGCTGCAAAACGTAGCGGAGAACTGTTTATATATAGAAGAATGTACAGGGGAGCTCTAAGAGGAACTGTACGATATTAATTCTTCCCCCTTCCCCTATAATTATTATACTCTTTGCCCTATACTTCTCTTGGAAATATCTTAGACAAATTCGAGATTATAACCAGACTAAGTTTTACCTCTTTGGTTTTACGTGATTTGACATTCTTGCTTGACATTTGGCAAAGAGTAATTTATCATTCTATTGTACGAGTTCGGCTTTAAAAGAAGGTTCAACATAACATAACATCACGCCTTTTATCCCCGAAGGGGTAGGCAGAGGTGCACATTACGGCAATTAATTGCACTGTTTAATGTAACACCCACTTTCCACTATTTATGTTATGAGTCCCATGTCACAGGGGGTGAGCCTATTGCCATAAACCGGGCACAACTCCAGACTCCGTGCTACTACTGAGAATTTTAAAAACTCAGTAGTACTTTGCCCGACCCGGGAATTGAACCCGAGACCCCTTGCCCGGCATCCTTACTATATATAATATTATAAATTGGAAAGTGAGTTTGTTTGTTTGTTCTACTTTCACGCCGTAACTACTAAACCGATTGCTTTGAATTTTTGCAGACGTGAAGTTAGAAGTCTGGATTAAATAATAGGGTACTTTTATCCCGGAAAAATTTAATATTCTCGAGGGAAAACGAAATTATTGGTATAGATGGCGCTGTGTGTATTGGTATATATCACATAGGCTTTTTATCCTTTTGTGACGCGAGCGAAGCCGCGGGTAAAAGCTAGTGATGACATAATTTTGTTTACATTTAACTCAAGAGATCCGGAAGCTATCGTTATTTTGCTACATTTAAAGTAAATTAGATAATAAACGAGACCTTTGATATAAACTATAAACAAACGTGAATGAAGATAGCGGAACACGCGATCGTACAGCTGCTTATGTGAAGAGTAAATACAACATGTAACGTAATTAACGCACACCCTCAAACACCCCAATTAGAATATTACGTTATAATCATAATACATACACTAAATGTTTAATTTAACATGTATATGCATCCTTACTGGTCTTGTTATAAGGTTTATTTTTCTTTATTTTGTATTGAATGATAGAATTTATATGAATACAAATAAAACTGCGATTTTAAAAGTCTTATTGCTTTGACTTACGGTCCATTTCGATTTGTTTTAACAATACAGGGTTAATATGAAATTAAAATGACAATAATTTCCGTAGTTTTAATTATTTTTGGGATAAAAAATTACCTATACTAAAAATTATATAAATCGATTCAGTTAACGATTCTGAACAAACTATTTTCAGGATGTGCGTTATTTAAGTTACATGTTGTATAATTAACTAGCTATTTCCGCGTGGTTTGACCCGCTGTTCAACTCCTATTCATCGTAGCAAGATGTTTTATAGCCAATAGCCTTCTTTGATAAATGGACTATCCAACACAAAAATAATTATTTAAATCGGACTAGCAGTTCCGGAGATTGGCGCGTTCAAACAAACAAGCAAACAAAATCTATCTATCCTTACTTCCTTACTAATATTATAAATCGGAAAGTGAGTTTGTTTGTTTGTTCCGCTTTCACGCCGTAACTACTAAACTGATTGCTTTGATTTTTTGCAGACATAAAGTTAGAAGTCCGAATTAAGTACTTTTTATCCCGGAAAAATTTGATATACCCGAGGGAAAACAAAAGTATTGGTATAGATGGCGCTGTGTGTGTTGGTATATGTCACATAGGCGAGCGAAGCCGCGGGTAAAAGCTAGTATTATAATAAAACTGTAATACATAGTATAAATTCTGTACATTGAAAATATTAAAAGATTAAGTGGTAGGGGTTAACATTGATTCGGTTCGATACAGATACAGTACCTATTGATTGGCTACTGAGCCGACTAGTTGTTAAAATAACCGTAGATATTTTACTTTTTTTTTTAATATTTCCGTGGATTTTGACGAAATCCTCTTTGAGTAATCCACTAGGTACACTCGCCAGCAATAAATCACATTCCCACTGGGTATATCTAAGATCACACGTGCAGGAATCGAACTCGCGACATGTCGCGTAGCAGTCAGTTTGTACAGCCACTATACAACCGTTCGGAGTCAGACATACATACATAATTATAATCATAACAACGTTTACCTACTTAATAAATGAATAACAGCATCGAACAAAACGTGAAGAGAAAAAAAGCCACAGATAAAAAATAAAAACAACGAAAACAAATAAAAAAATGCATTTAAAACTTCAAATTAAAAACATACCTGTAGCTTTAAATTCTTGCATTATTATCTATATTTTCTTCAATAAAATCGAGTATAATTTTATGAATATTATTAACACGCGTCCGTTCAGTGTGCCGTCAAGGGCATAACTGGACTAACAGTAATGTTCAGATTATTAATAAATTGATAACAATGCTCGCTTTACGTCAATGAGTAGATACACAGATGTGAAGTTAGGCATAAACCAGATGTTTATGTACCAATTTTTTTATGCCATAAGCCGGTAAACGAGCAGACGGATCACCTGATGGTACGCAATCGGCGCCGCCAATGGACACCAGAGATATTACAAGTGCGTTACCGGCCTTTTGAGGAATACGAGTTTGAGGATCGTTGGGGATTCAGGGATTGGGGAGAATGTGTACTCCGGTTGAGCCGGCCCATGGCTCTCCCACACTTAAAATCACGTTACGACCTATAGGAACCGACCAAAAAGGTTGAAACCGCGCGTTATTAATCACTACACAGTATACCTTAAAATAAAGTCGGTATCCGCCGTCTGTCTGTCCCTTCCCTATGTATGCTTAGATTTTTAAAACTACGCAACAGATTGAGTGATTCTTAAGGAAGGTATATATGTATTATTATATATGCATATTGCACCCGTGCGAAGCCGGGGCGGGTCGCTAGTAATTTATAATATTATCATGATTGGACAATCCTATGTTCAATAATATTTAATCTATGAAAGCTATGTAAGATGGTTTAATACTTTAATAACTTGTATGTTGATATCGCCCATTATCTAGTGTCGTAAATCGAACGATACTTTCTATACAAGATATATATTTTAGACATTACAAAACATCACGCATTTTATCCGCAAACGGGTAGGCAGAGGTGCATATTAAGGCACTTACGCCACTGTACAATGTAACACCCACTTTTCACTATTTATATTATCAGTCCCATGTAATAGGGGGTGAGCCTATTGGCATATACCGGACACGATATCAATCTCCGTATTACTACTAGAATTTTAAAAAGCCTAGTAATATTTTGCTCGATCCGGGAATCGAATCCGAAACTTCTTGCCCAGCAGTTGCATTTACGACCACTCGGCCAACGAGCAGTCATATATTTTAGTTAAATATTAATATAGATACTTCGCGAGAAACAAACATAAGATAAGATATTTCTTATATATTCACCCATAGCATTGTTTGATTTGACTCCTGGAGCTGCGGACGACACGACCTAGCGATTTACCGGGGGTCTTTTTTTTAAAGGGGGAAAAATCATCGAATGACTGCTCCCGCCTGGGTGAGGCGGGAGGGTGTGTCAGACTCTTACTGACTAAAAACCACCCCGTTCCTACTCCTGCACTTCGAGCCGGAGCCCCGGCAACCCGTTAAGTCCTCCGCGGCTCCGTATCGGTCTCAGTCCTATTGGACCCCATCCATGATAGTCTGAATCTGAACGCGAAAAAAAAGTGCTAAAATCATTTATTTACCTTTGACAGTCTGCTCGACCGCTATTTGTCGGGCGTACTCCTTGACTTGATGTCGTAATAACATAAGCTTATCGGTCATAACTTCCCTAAAAGCATAGAATTCTTCAGTAAGGCGGTCAACCGTCCCGTATTCTGCGGGACCGTCCCGTAATGCTAGATGTAACTAGGTACCTAATCCCGCTTTGAAATAATTTATAAAATAGTCCCGTAAAACGTTAGATGCGTCCCGCAAGTCCCGCATACCCATTTCTTTTTTTTCGTTTCATACTACACGACACCAACACACGCGTACTAACAACAGCGCGAATAAATGAAGATCGGAAAAATCGTCACTAAAAGTGAAAACACAACGTGCTCTGCTTGTACTTAAATTTAATATAGGAAGTTGCGAAGATTTTCATGACATACCTACTCAATAAGAATCCTGAACTTGTTAAAAAGTGTCACTCTAGAGATAAATACGATTTTATTAATAGTTAAATAACTTTTGTATATAAGTTTTATGTTTTCATGTAATTGTACCTAGGTGTTTTTTTAAGGGGGGGGAAATCATCGAATTAATTCTGGGCCTGGGTGAGGCGGAAGGGAGTGTCAGACTCTTACTGACTAAAAACGTGCCTTCTCCTGCACTTTGATCCGATGTAATTGTAGGTGTACTGACTAGACTTTATCTACAAAGAGTCCCGCATTGGACTTTCAGAAAGTTGGTCGCCTTATTCTTCAGTCACATTCGTCATAGCACTGTCAGGTTGCAGACTGAATTTGCCTGTGTATCGCCTCCATCCTTTTCAAGCACCTCTCTTCTAATGATCTTTGCGAAGATAGGAGTGCAGACAAGTCAGGTTTTATACTTGTATTTTCCTGATGAAGGAGTTCAGATGAAGAATCAGATGTTGTATCCAGTCAGATTTGTATCCAGTGGTCTAACTCCTTTGTCGACCTCATTGGACATTATTAAGATTTTTTTTAATATTTATCTTTGTCTTGGTCCGCCATTGTGGATAGATACACGATAATAAGTAATTGGTTCTAAATATTCGATAATTGAGTACTTTCCTTAATCAAAAACCAATTATTTGAACTGTACAATACAATAAAATATTAAATAATAATCACACTTTCATTAATTGATTTTATGACTAACTTTAATTTAGTAGGTATTTTCCCAGCAGATTTTTAATAATAAGTATGCTATTTGACTACAAATAAACGTGACGTCACAATACACAATCCCGTACAAAATTCATAGAAAACTATTGTTTTTGACAGTTCTAAAAATGTATTGAATTTGACTAGTTGGCAAGTACCCACGCTGGTAATCGGTGTGTTAATATTGTTTTTTTGTGTAAGTAGGTATTTGGAACTATATGAACTAAAAAAAATTTTTTATGAACACATGCGATGTGACAACTCCTACCCGCGATTATCTAGCTTTTGGTAAATCATTATTTTTCATAGTAGGTACCTACCCGAATTTATCTGATACAAATCATGACATGATTTTGTCCTAGTGAGAGCAAAGTTCCGCATTGTGTAGGTATGTTCTTATTTCAGTGTGCGTTACCCAGGCCAGATGTTGTCGAAAATGGTCATCTGAATCATATAACTAGGTATATAATTACTTAGTTGTGCGGCTTCTGTAATTGTTGCGCACATTTTTAAATTTGTTGCGCTTACAGTTTTGTTAATTATTTATCGAAAAAATTTCCTGCAGGGGTAACGTTACCCCAGCCAGACCTTCTTCTTTCTAATATTTATGAAATATTAGAAAGATAAATACCTTGTTCAATACTTACAGATACTAATTAAACTTCACATACATTTAAAGGCACTTGAAAGCTTTAAAATAACGTTTAAAGTAAGTCTTTAGTGCTCTTATTAAGAGTGCTGGGACCAATTGAAGTGTTTTTCTATTTAATGAAATAACCTTTAAGCTATGTATTATTTAGGTTTTTTATAGCAGAACAAATTTAAACTAATTCCTAAGAAGCCATGTACAAAATATGATAAGAATCCGCTTAACCATTTCAAAGATCTAGCAAACTCAAAAACGTTACCCCAGCAAAATCTCGAATAACTTCGCAACTGATGAAAGAACAAATACAAAATAAGGCACGACATTTACTTCATTTAAACAACTAATTTTATATCTAGTAATTATTTAAATATTCCTATTAGAAAGAAAGCTGGGTCTAGGTGGTAGCTCTAGCTGGGGTAACGTTACCCCGGCAGAAAATGTTTTAGTGAAATAATTAAAAAACTATAAGCGCAACAATTTAAAAATGTGCGCAATAGTTACAGAAGCCGCACAACTAATTACCTATAAGATTCAAATTACCATTTTCGACAACATCTGACCTGGGTAACGGACACCTTATTTCACGAAATGACATCACAATCTCATGGAAAATTGACGTGAAACACCGTTTGCGTTGTGTGAGGTTACCTATCGGATGTCCAATTGCTCCCCTCTCCAATCCCCAACGATCCTCCAATTTCTAACCCTCAAAGGGCTAACAACGATAGTAGGTAACGCCTCTAGTGTTGCGTGTGTCCAAGAGTGATCCGTCTGCTCGTTTACCGGCTTATGTCATAAAAAGTTTATTTTTTAAGGTTACTTTTTTAATTACCCTAAGGACTACTTCGCAGGCCGAGTGGTCGCAAGTGCGACTGTCGAGCAAGGGGTCTTGTGTTCTATTTCAGGGTCGGGATAAGTATTATTGGGTTTTTATAAAAAAACTCAGTAGTAGCACGGAGTCTGGAATTGTGCCCGGTATATGGCAATAGGCTCACTCCCTACTACATGGGACTCATAACATAAATAGTGAAAAATGGGTGTTACATTGTACAGTGGCATGAAGTGCCGTAATGTGCACCTCTGCCTTTCCCTTGGGGTATAAAAAGGCGTGATGTTATGTTAGACTACACATTTGACAGAGACTTTTAAACAACGATCTCTCAATCTCCAATCTGTCTGCTAAGTGTGGAGATACCGATCAACGTAACCTTACTTATGTAATATAGGAGGCTCATAGTGCAACAGTGGACGGTGAAAATAAAACAACAATTTATACGTAATGTTTTATATCAAGGACGTTGAAAAAAAGGCGAACGTAATGTCACTTCGAAGACAGAAATACAAAAATATAGAAATGATTGAAGCGGCAAAATGTACGTAGTGTATTCATGTGTGCGTGTACTTGCAACACCGCAATGTAAGGAGTGTAATGACGGGCCATGTCACGCTACAGATGTCGTTCGTGTCAATTCCCCCACGATAGCATATGCATCCCTATCATATACAACATGTAACGTAATTAACGCATACCCTAAAACACTCCAATTAGAATATTATGTTATAATCATAATACATACACTAACATGTATATGTATATGCATCCTTACTGGTTTATTTTTCTTTATTTTGTATTGAATGATAGAATTTGTATGAACACAAATAGAACTTCGATTTTAAGTCTTCTTGCTTTGACTTACGGTCCATTTCGATTTGTTTTAACAATACAGGGTTAATATGACAATAATTTCCGTAGTTTTAATTATTTTTGGGATAAAAAATTACCTATGATAAAAATTATATAAATCGATTTAGTTAACGATTCTAAACAAACTATTTTAAAGATGTGCGTTATTAAAGTTACATATAGATGGTTGGCAGGCCACAACTGTGCGCTTCTCACGTAGCTTCCTGCCTCGCACAGCAACACTGTGGAATGATCTGTTGTCGGCGGTATTTCCGAACCGATACGACCTTCAAACCGTCAAGAAAAGAGCGTATTCCTTTTTAAAACGCCGGCAACGCACCTGTGACTCCTCTGATATTGCGGGTGTTAATGGGCGGCGCTGATCGCTTACCATCAGGTGATCCGTCTGCTAGTTTGCCTCCTAATTCATAAAAAAATGTGTGTGTATTCTGCGTGTAAGTATATCGCACGGTGCAATATCGTCACTTATGCAATTTTTGTCAAAACTTAACTAATTATGAAAGAATGCTCCAAATTCACCTCTTTACTTGGTACGTTATTGTCATTTGTGTAGTACGCAAACTGTCCTCGTGAGGGCTTTACTGTCGTTACGGTTTTGGCGCTAATCTGGACGGTACTGGGAGAAACAACGTTTCATTGTTCAGTTGCGTGCGGGACCCCGCAATACATAAGTGACGTTATAACACCGGTACTACCACTAAGTAAGATATAGTAGCCAGGTGCCACAGTCGTTATTTCAAGTGACTATGTCCGCCTTTTTTTCCACGTCGTTAGGTTGAACATTATAATTTATATTTATTTGTATATTAATAAATAGATCATAGATACATAGGTAACTAAATCAGCCTTCTTCAACAGTGGCGACATCTGCTTGCAAGACATTCTCTGTCGAATTCTGTTCTACGTTTTTCCAAGTCTGAAATATAAAATCGAAATATTATAATTATTGATATTTTATATTATTTAAAATCTAATGCCCGCATCGTTGGTCGAGTGATCTTATTTTTATAATGTTATTGTTTAATTCTCCACAGACTCTGATACTGAAACGTTATTCAATTTTAAGTCGCGCTTAAGTATAGTTCTGTCTCTGCTAATTCTTAGTAAAATGACAGAGATGGCACGATATTTAAGCACGACTTAAAATTGAGTAACGTTTCAGTATTCCGGCATTAGTCTACACTTTTTTTAAGGGGGGAAAATCATCGAATGACTGCTCCCGCCTAGGTGAGGCGGGAAGGAGTGTCAGACTCTTACTGACTAAAAACCACCCCGTCCCTACTCCTGCCCTTGGAGCTGGAGCCCCGGTAACTCGTTAGGTTCTCCGCGGCTCCTTAGACTACACTGGAGCCCTCGGGCACTTAATAATTCCGGCCCCTTTTGGAATAATTCCGGCCCCTTGTGGTTTCAGTGAGGTACGAATCCCACACTCCCTAGTCTTTCTCCCAAAAAAAGCTAGGCGCCTCTTAAAGGTCACCCCCGTCATTAAAGAAAGGCCTTTGGCAGGGGCCACTAGTGCCCCTTATGGTTATGACAGTGCTCCGTTACTCTAAATAAATAACTTTTAGTAAAGAGGTGATTTAGGAGGTTGATGAAAATGGCTATTAATCTTACCATTTTACAGCGCAAACATTTATAAATCTTGATTTTATTATTCTGTTTCACTTCCGATCCTAATTTGATGTGGCGGTATGATCTGTGAATAAAAATAAAATAATTAAATAATATTAATTCCTACATATGTATAGACATGGTGTCCGTCACCCAGGTTTGTTATGGAAAATGGTCATTTCAATCTGATAGATAATAAGTTTTGCGGCTTCTGTAATTGTTGCGCACATTTTTAAATTTCCTGCTGGGGTAACGTTACCCCAGTCAGACCTTTTTCTTTTTAATGGGAATATTCAAATAATTACTAGCTATAAAATTAAGTCATGTACAAAATATGATAAGAATCCGCAAACCATTCAAAGATCTAACAAAACCAAAAACGTTACCCCAGCAAAATCTCGCAACCGATGAAAGAACAAATACAAAATAAGGCACAACATTTACTTCATCTAGACAACTAATTTTATAGCTAGTAATTACTTAAATATTTCCATTAGAAAGAAAAAGGTCTGGCTGGGGTAACGTTATCCCAGCAGGAAATGTTTTTGTGTAATAATTAAAAAACTATAACTATAAACTTCTGTTCTCACTTACATAAGGAAACACAACGCTGTGGTTGCTTGTTATGTACTATGGTTTCCTGCTCGGCCGTGGTATCACTCCGGTCGAGCCGGTCCATTCGTGCCGAAGCATTACTCTCAGACACGCTGTTATTTGGGTTTTACAACCCAAATAACAGCGTGTTAAAATATACTTACTGCCTCGTTGGCCGAGTGGTCGCAAGTGCGACTGCCGGGCAATGAGTCTTGGGTTCGGGCTCGGGCAAAGTATTACTGGGTTTTAAAACAATTCTCAGTAGTAGCACGGAGTCTGGAATTGTGCCCGGTATATGGCAATAGACTCACCCCCTATTACATGGGACTCATAACATAAATAGTGAAAAGTGGGTGTTACATTGTACAGTGGCATTAAGTGCCGTAATGTACACCTGTGTGTGTCTGTGTAGAATATACTTACGTCATATTGTACGAACAATGTAAACAAGTATATTTTGTAGCTTTTATATGATTCCTTCTATAATGAAACATTGTCTGATCTTCAGAATGATATCTACGTCCGCATGTTAGACATTCATATCTGTAAAAAAATATACACTCAGGGGCACATTTAACCGTCCACTCATATATTGAGCGATATCGTTTGTTTATTTTAACTTACGATTTGCTTATTCGGCGTAACTTGATGGTGGGTATATCTGCATTAAATAAAACAATCCTACACTCGGTTTGTTGACTTTTGTGGTTCTAATTCAACAATAATCCGTTTAGTCGCATTTTGACATCCTGGCTATACAGTTTTGGGTGACGGATACATTTGTTTTACGTCTTTCTCGTACCAGTTATTTGATTAAAAACAAGTTGTTAGGGTGCCGTGATTAAATTAAAACAAAAAAAAATGCCATTGGATGCGGCTAGTGCAGCTAGGGCTGTGGGACTTGCAGACACCGGGTTCAGCCAGCGTAGAATTGGACGGATGCCTGGATATCCTCAAACCACTATCCAAGATCCCATTCGGCGTTACAGAGAGACTGGTTCCTATACCAGAAGGCCAGGGCAAGGTCGTAGACGGTGTACATCGGAGAGGGATGATCGATACATCGTCTCGAATGTTCTGCGAAATCAGTTTACAACAGCTTCTGAGGCTCGTAGGCGATTGTTCGAAGTTCGTAATGTGAGTGTAAGCCTACGAATAATAAGAAGAAGGTTAGCAGAGCGGTACCTGAGAGCATTTCGACCAGCTCGAGTCCCAGAATTGACTGCAGCGCACAGAAGAGCGAGACTAAGATTTGCCCAAGAACATGCAAATTGGACTTCGGAACAATGAAAGATGGTTCTCTTCTCAGATGAAGAATCTCTCTACGAGGTCCTGATGGACGCCAGGGCGTGTATAGACGCCGCGGAGAAAGGTTTGCTGAATGTGCTGTCGTCAGAACCGTAGGATACCAGGGAGGGTCGATAGTGATATAGGGTGGCATATCTTACGACGCCCGTACAGAGCTGGTAATCTTTGAAAGAGGCAGTGTAAATGCTCGCAGGTACGTGACAGAAGTCCTAGAACCACAAGTGGTACCTTTTGCGCCATTCATAGGCAATGATTTTGTTTTAATGCACGACAATGCCCGTGCACACACCTTGAGATTTGTTACAGAGTACTTGGATGCCGTCAATATTCAGCGATTACTTTGGCCAGCTCGAGGTCCTGACCTGAACCCAATAGAACATGTGTGGGACAATCTCAAAAGACGAATCCGGGGTCGTACACTAGCTCGTAGCACCTTCGGTGAGCTAAGAGCAGCAGCGATCGAGGAATGGGAAAACATCCCCCAAAGCGACATCCAAGACATAATGGATGGGCTTCCAAATCGGTTGCATAAAGTCATTAGGGCCAGGGGAGGGATACACATTATTAATTCGTAAATTTAGGGTACACTTTTCCTTTAAATCCATTTTTGCATTTTTAATTTTTTGTAAGAAAACTCCATTTTCACATTTATTCATTATTTTTTGTCTAAATAAACCATTTAACAACTTACACATGTTTCATTTATGTTCGTGTATATCTGTGTAACTTAATATCATAACATAATTTATTTCAATTCGACTCATTTTTAAGAAAACTGAAAAATTGTAGGTGGCCGGTTAAATGTGCCCCTGAGTGTATTATATTAATGTTTATATTTAAGTGTGCTTCAGCACGAATGGGCCAGCTCGACCGCAGTGATACCACGGCCGAGCAGAAAACCGATGCGAAGCAACGCTTGCGTTGTTTCGTCGTGTGAGTGAGGTTACCGGAGGCCCAATTAACCTCCCCTTCCCCAATGTCCCCAATTCCTGAATCCCCAACGATCCTCAAACTCCTAATCCCCAAAAGGCCGGTAACGCACTTGTAACGCCTCTGGTGTTCAAGGTGTCCATGGGCGACGCCGATTGCTTACCATCAGGTGATCCGTCTGCTCGTTTACCGGCTTATGCCATAAAAAAAAATGACTGCCTCGTTAACCGAGTGGTCGCAATCGCGACTGTCGGGCAAGGGGTCTCGGGTTCGATTCCCAGATCGGGCAATGCTCAGCCCACGCTGGGCATTCCGCTACAGTGTGTTCCACGGTGTCCTCAAGGAAAGATATATAAGAGTATTTATATAAGACTAGCTTTTACCCGCGGCTTCGCTCGCGTCACAAAATGATAAAAAGTAGCCTATGTGACATATACCAATACACACAGCGCGATCTATACCAATACTTTTGTTTTCCCTCGGGAATATCACATTTTTTCGAGATAAAAAGTAACCTATTATTTAATCCGGACTTCTAAATTTTACGTCTGTGAAAATTCAAAGCAATCAGTTTAGTAGTTACGGCGTGAAGGCGGAACAAACAAACAAACAAACAAACTCACTTTCCGATTTATAATATTAGTAAGGAAGTAAGAATTAACAGTATAACTTAATAGCGTAATCTGTAGTGTTGTCTGTGTAAATTGTCTAAATAAATTGACTTGACTGCACGGTTGGTGCGGTGGCTGGGCAACCGACTGCCGTGCAACGTGTCGCGGGTTCGATTCCCGCACGGGACAACACTTTGTGTGATCCACAAATTGTTGTTTCGGGTCTGGGTGTCATGTGTATGTGAACTTGTATGTTTGTAAACGCACCCACGACACAGGAGAAAACCCTAGGGTGGGGCAACGTTTTAAAAAAAAAATGTTAGTATGTACCTGATATAGTGGTAGGATATGTGATCACTATAATTAGCCCCCGGATCGATATACTGAAGACATACATCGCATTTGATTAAGTTTTCTTTCTGTAAAAATAAAAAACATATAATATAAAAACAAATAATATATAAATAAATAAATAAATAAATAATATAATATTAATAATATTATAATATATAAACATATAATACGTAAGTCATGAACTGCCGCGTCGGCCCAGTGGTCGCAAGTACGACTGCTGGGCAAGCGGTCTCGGGTTCGATTCCCGAGTCGGGCAATGTATTACTGGCTTCTATTTCTTAATTTTTCAGTAGTAGCACGGAGTCTGGAATTGCGCCCGGTATATGGCAATAGGCTCACCCCCTATTACATGGGACTCAAAACATAAATAGTGAAAAGTGGTTGTTACAATGTACAGTGGTATTAAGTGCTGTAACGTGTAACGTGTGCTCTCTCTCTCTCTTTCATTCTCTCTCTCTTTCATTTTCTCTCTCTCTTTCATTCTCTGTCTCTTTCATTCTCTCTCTCTCTCTCTGTCTTTCATTCTCCCTCTCTTTTTTTCATTCTCTCTCTCTTTTTTTCATTCTCTCTCTCTCTTTCATTCTCTCTCTCTCTCTTTCATTCTGTCTCTCTCTTTCATTCTCTCCCTCTCTTTCAATCTAGCTTAACTGACAAACAGACGGGCAGACAATTCAATTTTTGACGTTTCAAAAGTGCCTAGTTAAGGATTAATTGAAATAAATGCTTTGACTTTAACTCTCTCTCTTTCTCTCTCTTTCTCTCTCTCTTTCTCTATCTCTTTCTCTCTCTCTTTCGTACTCTCTTTCTGGAGAAGAGTATAGTCTAAATTTCACGTATGTAAAAGCTAGTATGATACTTACATAACAATGTTTCCTCTTTGAATGATCTTCTAAATTCTCTCGATAATTAAATCCTAGAATACATGTTTCACATTTATACGGCGCCTTTAAATATCGCTGACCGGCAGCTGATTTTGATCTTTCCGTCATCAATTCTTCTTCAGACAATATTATAGCTTTAATACGCGACTGAATCGAGGATTTTAGAACTGAAAAAAGAAATACAAGGTAATTTGAAAAGCCTGTTTGATTTTAATGGGACAAGCCCGCCACAACGTCCCTGCCTTATTATAATATATGTAATGTGCAGTATAAGATCTTATATGTTTATCGAAATCATTTGAAATCCAGTGCTAACCATACGGAGAAAGTGTGAGTGTATACTCAATCATCTTAATAACATAATAGATGCTGTATTTTTTTGAGACAAGCGCGCCACCACCTCCCATTACCACTGCAACTCCTTGAAACCAGGACCTACAGTAGATACAACCATGAAAACACCGGAAAACTAAACTCCGGCGCGTTCCGTCCTATACTCGGGTTTCACACATCCCCGAGAATATGTAAGGCATTTTTTTTAATGGGACAAGCCCGCCATAACCTTCCAAAACCGCTGCAACTCCTGCAAGCCAAGATCTACAGTAGATACAACCATGAAAACAGCGGAATACTGAAGTCCGGCGCATCCCAGGGACATGAATAACTGTCTTAGTTCCCGCAACGAAGCGAATCAGAAGATATTATAAGAGGAGAAGAAAAAAACGATAGTTTCCACTTCCCTCGGTTGATTACTGTAGGAGACAGAATGAATTAAGTCTAAAAGCACAAAAAGAGAGTGTACAACTGGGTGAACAAATGTCTGTGTGTATAGTGTGGACATTAAGTATACAAATAAAAAAAGATTATTTTTATAAAGCCATTTTTTTTAAGGGGGGGGGAATCATCGAATGACTGCTCCCGCCTGGGTGAGGCGGGAGGGAGTGTCAGACTTTTACTGACTAAAAACCACCCCGTTCCTACTCCTGCACTTCGAGCCGGAGCCCCGGTAACCCGTTAAGTTCTCCGCGGCTCCGTATCGACATCAGCCCTATTTGCGCCCATCTGTGATGGTCTGATGGATCTTTATGTCGCGCGCGAAAAGCTCGGCGCCGCACGCTCAGGTCTGGTTCTCGGCAAGCTACCTGTGCTTACCGTCCGCAGACCCGCACGTACGGTGGACGAAGATCGTCTCCATCGCCCGAAGTATCTCCCGCGATGAGTGGGGCGTGAGGAGGTTCGTTCCCTCACGCGCCCCGCCTCCTCCTTAGCTAGTATAACTGCTTCGCAGAAGGAAAAGACGGCATCCCAGTCCCTCTCGCTCCGTACCATGGTCTAAACCAGAGCCGGACGCGAGAGTTCACCGCCACCGATCACTCTAAGTACACGACGGTGCTGTAAAATTACAAACGTAAAAAAGAAGCAACTTACCATTTTTACTTGGCTTAACAATCTTCTGGACCTCGTTAGGGACTTCTTCTTCTTTCTCAAATCTGTCTGAACTCAATTCTACTTCTTGGACACCAAAACTATCTTCAATGTCAGCAGTTTTCATAGCTTCTAGCAAAATGTTACTTGAATTAGCTGCTTTAGAAGTATCCGTATCTTGGCTTACAGTACCAATATTTAAAATGGGTATATTAATAAAATCCATATTTTTATTTATTAAACTATTCGATAAACTATTTAAAGACGTAGCTAATAAGTTAATACAGGCATTATTCTGGTTGCTATTTATAATTTCTAAAGCATTTCCAATATTTTTCATTTTTCTTTCGTACATTTCCGAACTGTTTTGTTTAAAACTCCTTTGTGGTGTTTCGTTTGTAACCTCTTCGTTGTCTATGCTTTGGTTTATATTATTATCTATGATGACGTTTGTCTGTGGTATGTCAATATTTTCTTGTTTATGTATTTGTAGATTTCTATTTTGTTGATGCGTGACTTGTATGTCGCTTTCCTGAAACGAATTTTTTTTTTTTAATAAGTAGACCTTTTTGCGTATAAGAAAAACGTCAGCCCCATTATAGAAATATTAGCCCCATTATGTTTTGTACTTTTACTATATTTTATCATTTACTTTTATATACTTTGATTTAGTTTTCTTTTTTTTATATTTTTCGTAATTTAATTTGATTAATGTAATTGGTGTAGGTATATCGTGTTAATCAATAAACAAACAAATACATAAATAAATAAATAGAATACAAAATTCGGTACATACTAAAATTAAGAAGCTGAACCGTTTATAAACATATTATTATTTTGAAACATTTATTTCATTCCAGCAACTGTAGCCAAATGCCATTTAGCGCTTGTCTACATGTAGAACAGAAAACAAATTATATGGAATCGACGTAAATTTTGACACTTGTCAGTGTCATCCCCATACATTTTGATTTCTACTCTCTCTGTAGACAAGCGCTAAAGTGGCGTTTGGCTAAAGGCACTGGAGTGATACATTACACATTAAATATTATTCTTAAAATAAGTATTATATTTTCTACTAGCAGTTGCGACTTGATCCGATAACTATCGTGAGACATACTATATTAAGTAAAATCGCGGGCTACTCACGTGAATATACTGGGAAAAGCTCTATTAGTTTCGAACCACAGAGGGGTTCTTCCTCATGAGCAGCGTGCGCGGTCGCGGCGACGTCGCCGCCGTCCGTGAGCTGCGCGACGTCGCTTTTCTCAGTACATTCACGTGAGTAACCCGCGATTTTAAGTTAACCTATTCTGCTTGTCCAACTTACCTCAGCAATTATATTAAAGCTATTCAACACTTGCTGTGTAAACATTTTGATTTTCTTCAACATATTATGACAGTTGTAGCATATGACTTGACATCTTGGTTCTATCTGAAAATGAATATTAAAAAAATAAGAAAACTAATACATTAAATTGTACAGTCAAAGGTCAAAAGTCCACTGCCACCGTGAGTGACGTTCACACGGCAATGCGCAAGTAATTTCATATTAATGTGCATAAACACGCGTGCGTACGCATAAACACACGCACGCGTACGCACACGGATACAAATATGCGTGCGCATGTATATAAGCGCTATATACGCGCTGCAGCACAACCGATAGTAGTCTTACGGTGGCACAGTGGACTTTTGACCTTTGACCGTACAATATTACTTTGGCAGTTTACGGAGCCGCGGAGGGCTTAACAAGTTTTTATAATACATACTAAATTAACTAAAAATCGCGGGTTACTCACGGGAATATACTGAGAAAAGCTCTACTAGTTTCGTACCACAAAGGGGTTCTTCCTGTAGGCTACGCGATATCACCACGACCGCGAACACTGCTGGAAGAACCCTTCTGTGGTTCGAAACTAGTAGAGCTTTTCTCAGTATATTCACGTGAGTTGCCCGCGATTTTTAGTTAATTTGGCTTAACGGGTTGCCGGGGCTCCGGCTCGAAGAGCAGGAACGGAGTGGTTTTTAGTAAGTAAGAGTCTAACACTCTCGCTTGCCTCACCCAGCCGGGAGAAGTCATTCGATGATTTTCCCCCTTAAATAAAAAAGGTAGTAATGTAAATAACATTTCACTTACCTCAGGTTTCAGAAACCTGTTTAAGAACTCGGAATGAGAACATGTTGACAGTTGTATGTAACGACCCCCTTTTGAAAGACAACAAATACAGAATAAGATTGGAGACTCCATTATTTCTTCATTCAAGACTTCATCAATCATGGCCTGTTCAGCGTCTGTAAACAATATTCAATAATAGTAAAACTTTTGTAACAATTATCTATATCTATACATATAACTAGCGGACCCGACAGACGTTGTCCTGCATATCTACTTGAATGTATAAACTGTGGCGACGCATGCCACATGTCAACGGATGACGTCACAAGAATCCTACATCGCACATGCAAAGTTTACAAGCGAATAAACACGGATAGAAAATCCCAACGAACAACTGTGGGGCAGAAAGCCCGCCAGGCACGATCACCTCGCCTGGTCGGAGGATCCTCCTTTTCCGATCTTAGGGAACTATACTCTCTGTTCCCTAAACTGGTGACCCCGACGTGATTGGAAGCAACCTTCACTTCACGGAGCAGATTAGCACCGTCATCCGTATCGCCATCCCTCTCATTCATCACTTCTCCGCTGAGCGGTAATCAAGTCGCAGCCAACCAGCATCCTCGGCCTCATCAGGGACCACCATCGCCTGCAACGAAGTTGTGCAGCCTGGTTCTTCCCTACGGCCTCACCAGCGTCTAGGCACAGCACTTCTGCACACGGTTCTGAAGGACATCTCCTCCCGTCAACGCAGATGCCGGCCACTACGCACCTACCCTCGCAGCATCTCTTCCCCGACTCACCGTGGGACACTGCGAGCTCATCTCTCCGACTCACTGGAGTTTCACCCTGCACCGCTGACCCGACTCACTGGGCACTCAGCGGCACGGTTCCGACCCACTGGAACTAGGGACGTTCTACACAGGCTCTGGCGCCACTCATCTCAAGTATCGACAGCCGTCTCAGCGGGATCGACCTCCGGTCTTGGGAGGGAGTGATGTGGCGACGCATGCCACATGTCAACGGATGACGTCACAAGAATCCTACATCGCACATGCAAAGTTTACAAGCGAATAAACACGGATAGAAAATCCCAACGAACAACTGTGGGGCAGAAAGCCCGCCAGGCACGATCACCTCGCCTGGTCGGAGGATCCTCCTTTTCCGATCTTAGGGAACTATACTCTCTGTTCCCTAAAAAACAAAAATTCATTCAAATTAGTCCAGCCGTTTAGGATAAATAACCTAGACACCGACTGCAGCGCCATCTGCCGGGCTAATTTGTGAATCTAAACCATCTAAGGCGCCACTCAAACGCTTACAGAAAAAATCATTTAAATCGGTCAAACCGTTTAGGAGGAGTTCAATGGCATACACACGTACAGCAGTATTATATATATAAAGATATGTATAAGATAGATGGGCCGACGTTTGACCACTATCTCGCCTGGTCGTAAGCGATGATGCGGTCTACGATGGAGCACGTCATCCCATAAGCAACAATTACATAGACTGTTAATATTTTTTTCTTTCTCCTATTATAATATCTTCTGTTTCACTTCGTTGCGGGAACCAAGACAGTTACTCATGTCCCTGGGACGCGCCGGACTTCAGTGTTCCGGTGTTTTCATGGTTGAATCTACTGTAGATCCTGGCTCACAGGAGTTGCAGCGGTTTCGGCAGGTAGTGGCGGGAGATTCCCATTAAAAAAAAGACTGTTAATAAAAACCAAAACAATTTACCCGAGAGCTCTGGTGAGAACAAAAGCAACGACGGTACAGCCAATTTATTCAATCTGTTTCTTGGATAGAGGAACTGTCTATGAAAATGCCGACGACATATTCTTTTAGATTTCCGTATAGTTGCGCTGTCCAGTTCAGCAAGGTCACCTCCTATAAACTTCACCCAATTTTGGAATCGTTCAGCATCTTTTACAGGGTGCGGAAAGTAATGCAGGACTGTACCTGAAAATAAATTATTGGGTCTACACTAGATAAAAATATTTATTTATTTTATTTATATTTTTTTATTTATACACAGCGCCATCTATACCAATACTTTTGTTTTCCCTGGGGAATATCAATTTTTCCGGGATAAAAAGTACCCTATTATTAAATTCCGACTTCTAACTTTACGTCTGCAAAAATTCAAAGCAATCGGTTTAGTAGTTAAGGCGTGAAAGTGGAACGAACAAACAAACTCACTTTCCGATTTATAATATAAGTAAGGAAGTAAGGATTTCATGTACAGTCAAAGGTCAAAAGTCCACTGCCACCATGAGTGATGTTCACACTTTCACACTGCAATGCGTCAGTAATTTCATATTCATGTGCATAAAAACGCGTGCGTACGCATAAACACACGCACGCGTACGCCCACGGATAAAAATGCACACGCATGCATGTATATAAGCGCTATATACGCGCTGCAGCACAACCGATAGTAGTCTTACGGTGGACTTTTGACCTTTGACCGTACCTACACCGCACAGTAGACAATATTACAAAGGACAACACATTATAAGCATGAGGTACATAGGTACTGCATATCCCTTATGGGATTTCTTCCTGCAGACCTGCGACAGGAAAAGGAATATAAACATTAGACACAATGTAAATGATACATGCAATGAATACAAAACAAAACAAAATAACTAAAAGAACTTAAAACTAAAATTACCGGAATATAATAAAATATATTATAAGCAAATTATAAAAATTAAATTATATATATAATAGTGTTACTAAAACTATTTTACAATACCTACAAAACAATAATAGCAATTTATTATGACGCGATATAACGCTTCTTGCTGTAAGTTTGCATGCTATGTATCTTTAGCAAAACATGTACGCTCTAATTTCATCATTACATCTATAATACTGTTGTAATGTAATAGCATCATCTCTTGCCACCAGGCAAGGCAGTGGTGGAACATCGGCCCATCACATATAAATATATGTATAATGTATGTATATATAAAAAATTAATTTGAATCTTACTAATGTTATAAATGTGTATGTTTGTTACCTACTCAAGGACATCGAAATGGATGAATTTGAATTGAACCTGTTCCGAATAGGAGTTTTAATGATAAGACTAAGGCCTCATGGCGAGATATTCTCCGGTGCCCGCCACGGTGACGGAATAGAGGCGGAAGATTCAAAGTCACGAGCTCCGCGAGTGTTCTGCGGTCCCTCTGTCGCCGCGGTTGCGATTAAAGCCGCAAACTTGGCCGTTGTCAAAGTCAAAGTTATAGCAAGACGGGTGGCCGGTTAAACAATTAATCCGACTGCACGGTCGGTGTGGTGGCTGGGCAACCGGCTGCCTTGCAACGTGTCGCGGGTTCGATTCCCGCACGGGACAACGCTTTGTGTGATCCACAAATTGTTGTTTCGGGTCTGAGTGTCATTGTGTATGTGAACTTGTATGTTTGTGAACGCACCCACGACACAGGACAAAATCCTAGTGTAGGGCAATGTTTTAAAAAAAAAATTATTACAAATCGGCCGTCCTAATTGCGATCGCCTACCAACCGAACGCAGAGTGCGCGGGTGTAACTCGGCGCGGCTGCGCGACCGCGACCGCGCCCGCCGGTGCACCGCAATCGCAACCGCCGCGGGCGTAAAACGAGCCGTGAGAATTGTTTTGATTTTTTACATACTAATCTATATTCTTTCTACTATGGCTGTGGGCCCTGCCCTCACCGTGACGGCCGCGGGAATAAATCGAGCCGGGACTCCTTAGGCTTACTTAGATTACTTTTTATCCCACGGGACCGCAAGGAAAGGTACTGGCAGAATCTAATTAGAATATTACATACAAATATATTACTTACCTTCTTCTGGTGGGCACCCAGGAACACAACAGACGTTTCGAGACATTATTTAAAGCATAAAATAATAAAACGACCCACTGACCCAAAGGGCCTATCCACAAGCCACAATTACGTATGTCAACACTCAACAAAATGCAAACTATGCTCGAATTTTCCAATTTCGGCAATAATAACTAAAGTTCAACTCAAGGGATTTATGGAAAATGAAATACACGAGAAATCACAAGAAAATAAACAAATTGGCTGTCAATTGTCAAAATGCCTAATAGTGTTAATGATCAAAGATAGACCGAATGAAAATTGTGTCTCGGGTCGTTTCGTTACTCGTGGTACGATGTACTTGTGGTCTTGTACAACAAGTGTCCGTATGAAATCATCGAGTTCAAGTTAAATAATTTAAATCGAAAAAACTATAGTAAAATGAAACATTTGGTTCATTTTATAATACTGTATTATTTCAAATCTATATAATAGTAATTTTAGACATTCATAATTTAGAATAAATAGGTCTATTTTTTTTTAATAATAAAAAACTTCAGCTAAGGCAGCTGCGTGTAAAGAACAGAATTGCTTTGCTTCGTTCCAGATTAGGGCGGTAGAAGTTACGATTTATAGCATTATTATTGTATATCCTTTTTCAAAGTTTGCAACTAGATGAAATAGCAATACAAAAGATGAATACTTATTTCCCTCCATTCATACGCCAACAAAGAACTTTGAATGATTGAGCAAAAGTTCACATCTTTTACGTCAAATGTCAATTTAGTAATTTTACAATACTCAACAGACCAACGTCGCTGTATTTTAATATAATTGTTGTTTTTAACGCTCATTTTTGCAAAACAAAGTTTGAAGAAAGTGATACATACGGTTAATGGTTGCTCAATTTTATTAACGGAACAATGTTTTTTGTGCGGCGAGTTATGGTTTAGTGAGAATTTTACGACGACATTGTGATCGCGAAGAATTGGAATCACGTATTATTAGTAAGTCGCTTTGTATTCTAATTGGCTTGAAGGTTGTCTCCTAATCATTTCTGTTCGCCTGGTACCTCTGATGACTAATCTCTGCTATATTTAGGCGATCTAGTTCTGGTCTTTATAGCCTAATTTGCAAATACCAGTTGTTTTTTTTTTTAAAGTTGTTTACAAGTTTCCGAAGTTGATCGAAAACTTTTTGGTGACGATTGTTTATGGTTGTTTTTAAAAATACTTCTTGGATTGTTCTGTTTGTGAGATAAAAATAAGAATTAGGTACCTACTAATAATTTCAAATATATCTATATGCTAATAATTTCAAATTAATTATAAGTTTGAAATCGCCAACCCGCCTTGAGCAAACGTGGTGATTAATGCTCAAACCTTCTCTGTATGAGAAGAGGCCTTTAGTTAGCAGTGGCCACTTGTAGGCTGTTGATGATGATCATTATGTGATGCTAATAAGATTAAGACTCTAAACAAAATGCAACTTTAAATGAAGCTGAAGCATTTGTTTGTTTGAATGCCCTAATCTCTAAAATTACTGGTCTGAATTGAAGAATGTTTTTGCTTTGGAACTATGCAATGGTCTACCAATTATTGATGACAGCTGTCGGCTGTAAAACATCACACTCCAATCAATAGGAACCATCCAGAGCAGGTGAAGTTGCGTAGTAGGTAATTGTAAATAAATAATCAATATGCTGATATTAAACAAATCATTTTTTTTTTTATTAAGTGTATAACTGAGCCAAAAGGTGGGTTTGCTGAATACTTCAGCAATTGATTGGGCCTCGAAGAAGACCGTTATCCCCTTATCTGCCGGTATATGATACACAATAGAAAACACATTGTGTCTACGCATATACATTCCCGGCATACCAGGAGTTTAAATAACCAGGTCATGTAGCTCCAACTAAACAAGTGGCTTATCATTTTCGATAACATATGCAGAATAACATTATGACAATATAATAATAATCCTCAAATTCCTAATCCCATAAAAAAAAAATAACAAAATAGAAAAAAAATATTGATATAAAGTCATGACTACATGTGCATATTTTTCTGCAGTTTTATCATTCTTCACAAGGTTTAAAGGAACTATAACAATAAAATAAAACTGAACTGTAATTGTTAGTTTATCTTTTGCATAAACACAATACATGGAAATTCCTTGATCTTGGTTATACACATAAAATGTTGTGTACGTACTTACCATTGTAGAATCTCTGTTATGTTATAAATGTATATATAAAACTACTTTCGCGCGGTTTCACACGCTCTGCTCAACTCCTATTGGTCGTAGCGTGATGTTTTATAGCCTATAGCCATCCTCGATAAATGCGCTATCCAACACAAAAAGAATTATTCAAATCAGACTTGTAGTTACGGAGATTAGCGCGTTCAAACAAACAAATGAAAAAACAAACTCTTCCGCTTTATATAATAGTACTAGCTGACCCGGCAAACTTCGTGCCGCCTAAAAAATTTATTTCTCACCTTTTAAACCTTCCCTGCACTTCCACGAACATTTCAAGACCAAAATTAGCCAAATCGGTTAAGCCGTTCTCAAGTTTTAGCGAGACTAACGAACTGCAATTCATTTTTATTTATATGGATAAGATACTAGCTTCTGCCCCCAGCTTCATGCGTCTCCTTACGATACAAAGTAGCCTATGTGTTATTCCAGACAATCTCACCGTGTTCTAAATTTCAACCTCATCCCTTCAGCCATTTTCACGTGGTTGAGTAACAAACATGCACACAAACATACAAAGCATTTATAGTATTAGTAAGTTGTTATGCTAGTCATTTAGTCGCGGAGAACCTAACGGGTAACCGGGGCTCCGGCTCGACGTGCAGGAGAAGAACGGGGTGGTTTTTAGTCAGTAAGAGTCTGACGCTCCCTTCCGCCTCACCCAGGCGGGAGCAGTCATTCGATGATATTCCCCCCTTAAAAAAAAATGCTAGTCATTTGGTTAGAAATACTGTTTTAATATATTGGATGCCGTATCGGTCAATGATGCCCGATGCTAGGGGATGATTAGCCTTTAGCAGTTTCTGTCGGCAGTTAAAGGCCCAATTCCACTCTTCCCCAATCCCTAAACAATTCCTAAATCCCCTATCTGCAAATTGCCCCTAAACGGCTAGCAACACACTTAGTCCACACAGGTGTTGTGGGTGTCCATGGGTGCTGATTGCTTATCATCAGGTGATCCGGCAGCTTGTTTACCATAAAATGTCTCAGGTCACCTTTTAGGGGTTGAGGAATAGCCGCAGAAGACTTAACGGGTTGCTGGGGTTTGGGCTCAAAGAATAGAAGTAGGAATGGATTGGCTTTTAGTCAGTAATAGTCAGGCACTCCCTCTCCTCCATATCACCTCACCCAAAGTGGTAGAAGTCATCGGATGATTGAAAAATAAATATCTTGGAAAAAGCATCGAATATTTTCTTGTTATTTATAAATATATCTAGGTATATATATATATAAATGAAACCTGTTTCCCGTTGTCACGCCATAACTTGAGAACGGCTAGCCGATTTGGCTGATATTTTTTTTGTTGTGTTTGTTATTGTCACTGGAAGGTTATTATGACAGAAAAATTCTTGTAAATCCTACGGAAACGGGAGAAAAAGGGATTGCGCGTACGTAGTCGCGGGCAGGAGCTAGTTTTTTTTATAGATACTCTGATTCTAGAATGTTATCTAATACGGAACTTGACATAGTGATCAAAACAAGTTTGTTTACATAAATTAACATACATATAAAATATGTATTTGCCGTAAACTGCTGACATTTTAAGTGATATCTTATGTCAGGTCAAATTGGTGCTAATAATACTATTAATGATAGCATCCAGTATTTTAATGTAGGTTTCTATGTAGGTACCTAGTGTTTGTGTCTTTGATTGGCGGTTTCATTACATAGTGCAAAATGCTTTCCGCCGTCTATGACTGTGTCTGTATGCTTATATCTTTAAAATTATGCAACAGGTTTTGATGCGGTTTTTTTAATAGAGTGATTCTTGAATCAGGTACCTATCTTTTGAGGTAGGTTTGTATCTATTCCTACATCTATACAGATAAATAAAACTAGAGTGTCTGTAATATTAAAATAACCGCATTTTACTACATGCATATGAATATACTAATATAGTCAAACGATATACATACCAAAATAAGTAGTTTTACAATTTTTGTCAGTCTGTCTGTTTGTACTGGCTAATTAATCTTTGGAATGGTTGGACCGATTTTATAAAACTTCAAGATTTTTATGGGCAGGTAGCTGATGTATTAAGGAGTAACATAGACGATTTTTATTTTGGAAAATTGTACTTACTATATTATAGTTTATTCCAAAATTCATATTCTACGCGGACGAAGTCGCGGATGAAATAGAGAAAACCGGAGGAAGTAGGATAATGTCATAGTTTTAAAAATATCAGGTCTAATCACTACATAGTATAAAACAAAGTCGCTATCCGCCGTCTGTCTGTCCCTATGTATGCTTAGATCTTTAGAACTACGCAACGGATTTTGATGCGGTTTTGTTTAATAGATAGAGTGATTCTTAAACTGTCAAATACCGCGAGGAAACACCTGAGGACACAGGTGACCGCAACCTATTGTTCTTTAATTGTGTCTATAATGACGGTATTCAAAGGGTTAAGGAAGGTTTATATGTATAATACATGCATATTGCACCCGTGCAAAGCCGGGGCAGATCGCTTGTTCTAATTAAACTAAGAAGTAGTTTGTGTTTACGATACTTACGGGAAAAGTAGTGGTAGTGATAAATGCAATCTAATGTCTACTCTACATCACCACACGGCAATCCGGGTTACCACATTTTTGCGACATTCTAGGGTCTCAGGGCTTTTACACAAAATTGCGATGCGACTTCACATAAAAATGCGCGAGCTCCCTCTACGCATCGCTAGAAGCTAGAACTTACGAATTGATTCGCATCGCGCATCAAAATCTTATCTCCCCAAAATCTTCTTTGTTTCTTTTTCCTGTATCTCCTAAGCAATACAGAAGTGCACACTTCTTTTTACGATCCATGTCACGACCTAGATTTCAATTTAAAATACATTTAGTACGGTTGACGGTCGTCGAAGGAATGGTCACCCTGGGTCACGCCTTGTCGCACGAAATCGCATCGCAGCAATTCGCATAGCATCGCAGTTTTGTGTACGAGCCCTCAAGCCAGCTCTAGATACGTAAAATATGTTAATGCAATATTTATTTAGATTTTAATGAGATACAACTATAATACACTTTCGCATAGAAAGTTAAACTAAAACATTTTTTTTACTTTTTATTGTTCCAAAGTAGGGCAGTCTCATTTCTAAAGAAAGTGGTTTTAAGATAAAATTAATTAATTAGTGTTAGTACGTACCTAATGTAATTAGAATATATTTAAATTAGTAAAGTGTTTCTTTTTTGTATGTTTTGAATATTTATAAGTCGATTTAACTATTAACTTAAATTTTTCAACCTACCGTAAGGTAGATATTTCGAACTGAAGCCCCGGTAACCCATAAGGTTGTCTGTAGCCCCGACCGGGCATCACCCCTACTGGGTCCCATCTGTGATGGTCTCATTGCATCATCGTACCCTCATGTCGTACAGTAGCACGTGCTAGAGCACCGATTCCTCGCACTCTGGCCGCGCTCAATGGTCTCTAGGATTAAGATAGACTAGATTAGGTCAATCCAACTAGTGATCTGTTTGCGGACGGATGGAAGGAGATTTTATCGGAATGCCTGAAGTACTGCGAGAGGAACTTATGAATGGTACCATTTTTTAAATAAGTTTTACTCTTCTTGTTCGTTGTGTATGTTTTGTTCTAGTTTTATTATTTCATCGATTTTATTGTATCGATTTATGTGTTCAGTTACTTTAATTGGTTTTTGTTTTAATAAATAAATAAATCACTACAAGGCCAGCGAATCTGATCGGTATACAAAATTTAACCCCATTATTTGTTTCTTTACAGGTTAAAAACGGCAGTACAAAATGGACTTAGTACAAAATCCGAACAACAATAGAGATGGCATGAACAACGAAGTATCTTCCACTTCGACAAACGTCCCAGTAAAAAGATTAACGAAAGTTTACAAAAAGCATTATAAAGAAACTGCTATATCGGACAATGAAATGGGACCACGCCAGAGGAACTTACAAGCTAGAAATCATTATAAAAGTACAGGGAACTTAAATGAAGGATACAGAGACATTAGATCTCTGCAAAGCAGCATCAGCAATATAGATTTGAGCCTACATAGGGATGATATTAAGAAATTCGAGTCGTTACAAATACCTATAGTTGGTTATGAGATAATGGAAGAAAGAGCTCGGTTCACGATATACAAACTCAAAGTCGAAGATGATAATTCTGATCAAAGCTGGCTAGTATTCCGTCGGTACACCGATTTTGTAAGATTATATTCTAGAATAAAGGCTGAACAACCGAATTTGAACTTACCGCTGCCAGGAAAGAGGTGGTTCCGTGATAATTTCGAACCAGCCTTTCTAGAAGACCGAGTCAGAGGGTTACAGATTTTCGTGAACGCAATTTTGATGAAGCTCCCAAACCATCCTGTTGTTCGTGAATTCTTTTGTCTAGATGAGCCCCCTCAAGTCTTTAGTTATCAGCCTGAAGTCCAGGCAGTGTATGGAGCACTAGAAGACTCAATAAGTACGTTAAAAATGCAGCTGAAACAAAAAGATGCGACCATTTTGCATTTACAAAAGAGATTGGCTCAGTTAGAAGCTCAAGTTAAAAGTTGTGGCAATTGTAGTTCAAATGTGTAATTTATATAAGTCAAGGGTGAATGGAGATGTGAACACTGGACAATCACTATATAGGAACAATATTTTCTATGTTAAACGGTTTTAATGAGCTATATTCTACCAATCAAGCCCTTGCGTTTGATATTCACTGGGGGAAGTGATAACTATCGTTTTTTGCTTCTCGTTTATTAATATCTTTTGGTTTATTTCGTTGCGGGAACCAAGACAGTTATTCATGTCCCTGGGACTTTAGTGTTCCGGTATTTGCATGGTTGTATCTGCTGTAGATCCTGGTGCACAGGAGTTGCAGCGGTTTTGGGAGGTTGTGGCGGGCTTGTCCCTCAAAAAATCCATAATGGAGGTAGTTGTGGATAAAATAGATTATAATACCTACCGGTTTAGGATTTACATTAGTTCTATAATCTCCATTCATCCCAAAATATATTCATGCGCCTCATTTTAATATTATAAACTTTTGTACAAAAAATATAATATTTAAATATTACTAATCAAACCAGCCCCTTAGCGTTGGGGAGCATCTAAACTAACGTCTTACCGTTAGGTGTCACTTATAGGTTGGTGATAACCAAAATGTCGTTAAGTGTCACCTATCTTAGTTTAGGGGTTCCTTAAAATTTTTGAGAGGTTGTTGAAAACTGGCCGTGGCATGAGTTTGCTATGGCAATAGGCTCACATGGGTCTCATAACATAAATAGTGAAAAGTGGGTGTTACATTATAATTATAATATGTGTTCCTCTTAAAACGGCTTACTATTTTTTTCTTAGGCCGGTCCTAACTACCCTATATTTCACGAGTGGCCTGAATATACAATTTAATTGATATTTCCTATGTAATTATTAAAATTTCATAAGTACTCGCGTTTTTCGAGGAACACTCAACTACTTTCGAGTCACACCGGGACTCTTAATCTAGAGCAGCACGGTGCGAAGTATGTATTAATTATCGTCATTTAACAAAGCATGCATCCTAAAAAATCACGATTTGATGTATGTAACCAAAAATGTATTTAATTCATATGTTTTTTTTTGTAGTAGTTGTAATGTATCTACTTTGTTAGCGTTTTTATGGATATAGCTCAAACAGAGGAGTATGAAATTTGGTACAGTAAGAAATATCTTTATCATCATCATCAACAGCCTATAAATGCCCACTGCTGAGCAAAGCCTCTTCTCACACGAAGAAGGTTTGAGCATTACTCACCACGCTTGCTCAATGCGGTTTAGAACTAATAATTAGAAATTATAAGCCCAGGTTTCCTCACAATGTTTTCCTTCACCGTTTGTCAGTGATGTCTAAATAATCTTAGAAAGTACATATAACTCGGAAAAAGTCACATTGGTACTTGCCGTTAGTAGGTTTTGAACTAGCATTTTTATGCATGAGAAGTGGGCGTCTTAAACCTCCGGCCACCACGACGGTAAAAATTTTAGAAAGTTTATATTTGTATTTGAGAAAAACGAATTAGATAATATTAATTGTGCTATACTAGAAAAAATAACAGGGATTTTTTTTCAATTTGCCTCAATGGTATCGAATATTATTGGGCGAAAATGCCATCAAAAATCTTCTAATATAAAAAAAACATAATCTGTTATTGTACCAAATTTCATCAAAATCAGGGGGCTTACTCTTGAATCCAATTCCGATCGATCGACATTGGTATTGTGAAATTTCGTACACTTGAGTAGCAACACTAACGCCCATTGCATCTGTATTGCGTGGATATTAAATGAACTATATGGTATTGATTTTGGCTTTATATTCCGTACTCTGAATGCTATTTTAACAGCTACGATAAGGGTTGTATAGTGTTGATATTGAATAATTATTGAGATATTGAATTGCATTGGCATTGAGATTGGTTTCAAGAGTAAGCACCCTGTTTAGCGGTTTAGGAATAGAAGTATGACAAATGTACAGTCTGTACAGGTATTTAGTATGCAAATAAGAAAATAAAGATTGATTCAGTACAGAGACAGTAACCATTGGTTGTCTACTGAGTCCACGAATGGTTACAGAAGATATGACGTCGTTACAAAGCATACAATTGGGTAGATGACTCATTTTTATTGTAACGGTCGTCTGGTAGATAATTTTAAAACATTAGACACGTATTTTTTATTTTCTTCTGGAAACGAATACTTTCGACGATAAATTGATTAGAAACATCGCGTGACGTCACTTCTACGTACGTTTTATACGTAGAAATGACGTTTTAGCTCCCACTCCTAAACTTTGATTCGTTTTATCTAAGTAGTGTTTTATTATACGACAAAATAAAAAAAACGTGTCTAATATTTTTTAATTATCTAACTGACGGACTAATTAGATTTTTAATTTTCGTACCCTATTTGGTATAACTATAGCTACTGTCTCTGTACAGAGGGCCAAGCACGAATAACTATCGCATTCGTAACGTAATAGTATCGAACGCGTTCGGCGCTCTGATTGGCCGGCTCAAGTGAACCAACCAATCAGAACGCTTAACTCGCTCGATACTGTTATGATACGAATGCGATAGTTATTCGTGCTTGGCCCTCAGAATGAATCCTTATTTTCTTGTCTGCGTATTAAACAACTAACTGCCTGTTCAAACAATGTCAAAGTCATTGCTCATATTTTCAAAAACTCTTGGTAGTTATAATACGGTGCTCTTAAAGTCATTATCATTTCGCATTTAAATAAATAAGGTACAAAATATATTAAAAATAAATAGTATTTTAGAATATAATGGACTTTATAGCATTTGTGTATATAAGGTTTTAAATATGAATCTATGAAATTGTAAATTGTATTTAATCTGTCAGTTAGGTAATGAAAAAGTGTAAAACGAATGGGCCGGCTCGACCGGAGTGATACTACGGCCTCCAAAAATCGGCGTTGTGTCACGCCGTATGAGATTACCGATGTCTCTTTTAAAGGCCGGTAACGCACTTGTAACACCTCTGGTGTTCCAGGTGTCCACGGGCGACGGCAATTGCTTACCATCAGGTGATCCGTCTGCTCGTTTGCCGGCCTATAACATACCATGATAACTTATGTTTTACGTTATTTTAGCTGATATAGACTAAAATTTAAGCTGTCATATGAGCTAGAGCTATTTTATGATGATTTGTAAGTTAACTAAAATCGCGGGTTACTCACGTGAATATACTGAGAAAAGCTCAACTAGTTTAGAACCACAGAGGGGTTCTTCCTCATGAGCAGCGTGCGCTTCAGTGAGCTGCGCGACGTCGCCGCGACCGCGCACGTTAGTACTGAAACTAGTAGAGCTTTTCTCAATATATTCACGTGAGTAACCCGCGGTTTTACTTAATTTAGTATGTCTTATGATTTGTAAGTGGTGGTAGCTATCCAAACAGTTAAATGTGGAGCCGTAAATCCGATAACCATTTTAATAACGAAACTATCAATAGCCCTGTAGACAGTGCTTAAACTGTCAAACACCGCGAGGACACCGGTGTCCGCACACCTATTGTTCTTTAAGTGTGTCTATAATGACAGTACTCAAAGGGTCATGCAACTTGCTAGGATTTTTTGTCATTGGGGTATGTTCGCGCATTATGTATTTTCTCATTATTTCATAGCTAAATTCTGCCGCGAGTTAATGTGATATAATAAGTAGCCTATGTGTTTTTATAGCCCTGGTGGCGTATTATGACGTCTTAAAGCCAGAGTGGTTCAGCTGTGGGAACGAGATCTCGGTAGACGACTTGTATTTTTTTTTAAGGGGGGAAAATCATGGAATGACTGCTCCCACCTGGGTGAGGTAACCCGTTAGGTTCTCCGCGACTCCGTATCGGCATCAGCCCTATTGGCTCCATCCGTGGTGGTGTGATGGCTCTTTGAGGCGCGCGGACCGCTCGGCGCCGTACGCTCGGGTCTGTTTCTGGTCGGACGGGGAGCCACCCATGCTCGCCGTCCGCAGGCTCGCGCTTACGGTGGCTGGAGATCGTCTCGCTAGACGACTTGTATAGCTCTGTTTCTTTCCCTCAATGTAACCATTCTGACTTTATGACGTCATAATAACCCCGCTGTTCCAATTTTCATTTTGATCCCTTTACCCATTTTGACATGATTAGATAGATTTGAATAGACTACAAGGCAGCACTTTCACACGTCAATTTTTCACTCGAACGATGAGGCCGTCATTTCCTAACTGACTACTCTGCAGCTGTAGCCAAATGCCATTTAGCGCTTGACTACATGTAGAATAGAAAACCAAATTAATATATGGAATTGACGTAAATTTTGACACTTGTCAGTGTCATCCCCATACATTTTGATTTGTACTATCTCTGTAGACAAGCGCTAAAGTGGCGTTTGGCTAAAGGCCCTGAGAAGAAATGCCGAAGAATCCGTCATGCTAAGTGCTACTAACAACTAAAAACTACCGCAAAGTAAAAAATCGACGGTGCCCTAATCTGCCGTCACCACTCGACACTGGCAGTATAGTCGACAACATCGTATTGGAGACTCGGTAGCCAAAGAAAAAAAAAAAAGACATGCCGAAACTAATTCAGAGGTCCGTCTCTTTTAAAATCTAGACAATATTATAGATTAAATAACAAGTTTACATACAAACTCACTTAACGTATGAATAAAAAAGTATTTTTTTTTTGGTAGCTAATTCAATAAGAAATAGTGAGAAAATACATATAACGAAATCTTGACCAAGTTAGTACCGGGTATAATATTTGATAATCGAGGTTCCCTACTAAAAGCACTTAAAAAACAGGTTTCAAATAAATTCTGTGATAATTTTACTAACATGATGTTATATTGTTAATAATAATAATTAGTTATATTAATAAATAAGCAATAATAGTGCCTTATATAACGTGGGAACATATTAACATAACATAATTGGAAGAAAATTTTACAAACTCCAGTGACTCAATTCAAAAAAAAAACAAAGATTGATTCAGTACAGAGACAGTAACCATTGGTTGTCTACTGAGTCCACGAATGGTTACAGAAGATATGATTTCGTTACAAA